GTGAGGAGAGAGGTAAACATTTCAAGTAACTGCTGAACGAAATGGGAAAGAATGCCAAATGGGGACATAAAAGGATGGACTAGGCAGCCTTGCTATGGATGGCAAGTTCACGGCTGTGCGGTGTCTGTGTGATGTGCTGAGTAGCCTGCATACTCTAAGAGCATAAAAGCTAAGGATCTGGGGACCAGCCAGGACATGAGAGAGCCAGAGCTGACGTTGACACTATGAAGGAATGGATCTAGGCCAGGTCCAGATAAGGAAGAAAATAAAGTCATGTGGGCAAATGCTCGGCCACAGACAGAAGTCTTGAGGGCTAAGTTCAAGAGGAGAGTGAGGGAACGAGAAAGGCAGGAGGTACTGACCAAAGAATGCAAGGTCGCAGTTTAAGATTTCCCAAGTGGAGCAGTTCCCGTTTTCTCAGTATAGGAAAAGTACAGGGCACGGGTGGGGCTTGGCTGATCTTTATCCAGACCTTGATTGTTTCTCAGAAGCTGTCCCTGCAGTTAAGGGTTATATCCACGTGGAACTTTATATTGATCTCACAGTCCTCTGCTGAATTTATTGGGGATAATAAATTAACTGCCTCTATTGTTTTATCTCCCCCCTACTCCAGATCCCAGTCATTTCATAGCAGCTTAGAAAAGCACTGAAGATAAAGGTGACACTTCCTTCTGAAGTCCTCTGATGCTTCCTTGCAGAGTACTATGTATGGACTGGGTTTTTATTCCTTCCTATTGAACTGAATCCTATTGGGACCCTTTCTTTTCCTGCTTCCTTCTCAACAGAAGGAAACTCCTTCGGACATTGGGGTTCTATATATGTTCAGCAACCTCAACCACTATCCTTCCTCTGAGGAGGGGAAAATGGTGCTCATCTCCAAATCATGTAAAAATAAGATGAGAACAATAAAATGAGGAAATGGAAACATAAGAAAAGAGAATGGGCAAAGAGGGGGAAATAGTTTAAGTAATTTCAAGAAATCCAGTTTTCTTATTTCGTTTTATTGAGATACAATTTATATACAATAAAATTCAACAATTTTAAATATAGAATTCAATGAATTTTGACCAATATATACAGTTGTACAATTATTAGCACATATATCATTTCCATCACCCCCCAAAATTTCCTCATGCCCCTTTGCAGTCAACTGCTTCCCTTAATCTGAGCCTCTGACAATCGCTGATCTGCTTTCTTGCACGATGGTTTTACCTTTCTAGAATTTCATATGAATGTAGTCAGACAGAGTGCAGCCTTTCATGTTTACCTTCTTCAAGAAGACTAGTCTTAAGCTGAGGATATGAAATAGCTTATAGGTTAGAAAAGGCAAGGAAAAGAGTTCATCAGTCTGAGTGCCCACCTACTTTGGCTTCATCCTAAGTAATAATTCCCAAGAAAAATTGCGTTTTATGTTTTAGCTATATTTTTCTACAACTCATTAAAAGTAAATACATAATTATTGAAAGTAAAAATGTTGATCTGGGCACTACTGACATACATCTCATATACCATCAATAATAAGCAAACCTCACTTAGGAAAATATTGCATTAAAAGATCTTGACAATTTTTTATAGTTCTAACAGTCTCATTCTCTCAGCCATTGGTTTTGGCCATTGAATCTTAAACAAAGAGGTCATCAGCAAAATTTATAAGTAATTATGATACCCAAATCCCCAAGCATAGCATCATAACATGTACATACACAATTACCTTACTTTTAAAGATGAATTCAAACCTTTTCTTTTTGCTTTCTACCTTTGTTTCCCATTTCATTTGGTTGGAATTAGAAAAATTTATGTTTGGATATAATGGAAAACAAAACCACAACTAATAAAGATGGGAAAATTAAGACTTGCCACGCAGCCCACATAGATCGGGAAGACTTCCCGCAGGGTATGAGATTTGAAGAGACTTTAACACCGAACAGATGATCAACCCAGCACTGCCCTGGCAAGTAGTCGGTTAGGAAAGCGCAGCACAGCGAGACCACAAGGACGCCACAGAAAGTGGACAAGAACATTTTGCAATGGGCTATCCATGAACAAGCCATGTCTGTGGGCTAATTCTTGCTGTATGTGGGTTACAGTTCCTCTATCACTGCCGTACTGTTAGGCTAAGACTCAGCAGTTGTCTATGTGTCTCTGTGTGATCATATAGGCCCCAGCAGACTGAGTCACTAAAGATTGCTTCAGGGGTGGGCAGCGCTGGTAATCAGATCCATGGAGACCCACGTCCTTCTGCAGATGAGGCCTTTTCTGTAGGAAATTAGAACTCTGGGAAGTCCCCAAAGAGTCATGGAAGTTTGAATAAGAAAAAAGTCTAAGTTTAATGAGAAGTTTCTCTTTTACATTTGTCTTTGTGACAACTGTTGCTGCTTGACAACACTAGAGGAAGTTCCGGAGGGTGATGGGTAGGACCACTGTCAGGAGTGGCAGGTGAGTGAATCCCACACCTACTTCTCTGGTCTTGTTTACCGAGGTGAAATCAGGTCAGGTCACAATATCTGAGGCAACTTTGAGATACAAAAGTGTGCCAAAGGCTGTCTCCAAGGGTGTGTGGAAACAGGAGTGACATAGTCACACCCACTTTTGCCTGATCAAATGTATGAGTGGCACGCAGGCCTTTCCTAGTGCCCTGTGGGGCATAAACACGGAGCTGGATGCTCAGCACACCTGCTTGACCGGCTGTTTCATAGGAAAGGTAGCTCAATCCAGGGCTTTGAATAAAGTGAGGCGGCTCATCTGAGTCTTTGTACTAGTCAATATTTGTCACGTTGTGGAGACCTATGAGAAACAGTTTCTCAGATCTTTTACATGTTGCTAGATAAACATACTAAATGCTAGCTGTTAAATCGTCTTTCAAGGGAGGCCATTCCAAAATGAAATCTTGGCTCCATATTTGGTGATAATTTCATGGTTCTAAACCCCGATTAATACAAAACTGGTCCTGCCTAACCATGTGGCTACTTATAGAGTGAGCTTAATTCCATCTTAGGCAAATGCAGATTTTCTCTTGGTAACATGACTTCATTTACCTTCATTTACACAGAGACTGCTGTGAGGGTTCAAGTTGCTAATATGTGTGCAGCCGTTATGGCTGTTTCTATGCTTAACAGGCAATGCCAATGTAATATTAACGTTTTTGCTTGCACTGATATTAAACTTTTTCACCTTAAAACTACAAATTCAACTCAAAGACTGCAAGATCCAATTTTATTTTGCCTTTAAAAGAAAAATGCTACCATAAACAGAGTCCACTTTGTAATCAGAATCCTAATCTTTTTCTCTGAAGAGAACAATGGTCAGTTATACACATGGGGATTCCATGAAGCTAAGCAAAAAGAATGGTCGTCTAAGTAAAATAGGTTATGGAACTCTGAAAGGAATGAAGAGAAAAGCAGCAAATTAAGAGCGACAAAAAGGATCATTTTCCTTTTTGAATTGCACTGTTTGAACCAATGTAACAAAATCCCCCAAAATACAAAAATTTTAAATAATTTCATTACTTAAACGTTTTTAAAAGTAATTTTCCCCAGTAGACACAGGGAGGGGCAAGCAGAAAAAGTCTCTTTTGTTTTAAACCTTGTTGGTGAAAATAATTCTAAAGCTATTAGTATTATTTACTACCTCGAGGAGTGTCTGGAGATGCCTCACCGTTTCTGTGATCTTTGCCTGTATGGAATCGAACTACCGATGGAGGCAACTGTCAAGAATCTGTCCTGACCCCAAGACCTATTCTGGACCGAAGTTGCTTTTCATCGCAGAGGTCTCAGTTTTCTTGCGACGACTCTCAATTCACAGCCCCCCACCGTAGCCCCAGATAAAACGAGACTTCCACTAACAAAGGACAGTCCATAAAGTTCCTCTATCAGTTTGAATTAAACTGGTTTTTTTTCCTTGTAAAGGTTGCTTGTAAAGCCTAAATCTTAAAATTAAAAAAAAAAAAAAAAAGGAAGCAGCTTTTGACCATGTGGACAAAGGGAATCTCAGTTGTGTGCAAAAATGCAACCACGTATGAGAACTGCGCAAATGGATGGTCCGCGTTTGAGTGAAGTCAAAAGACGGCGTTTCGCTCGCTTCTCTATTTGGAGGCTGCCGACCCGTTTCCCAAGATGTAATGATTATGAGGATGCTACGTCAGTTTTGCCCCCTGTCCAAGACTTGGCCCGTGGCCGTTTACTTCTGGGCACTATTAGATTCAATTAGGTCTTGTCCTCTTAGCATCTGTGAGGACGGACTTCAACCCCGGGCGCAGGCTATTTTCTCCGGGAAAGTCACAACATCCCTCAAAGCATCAAAGAGCTCCGCCATGGAGCCGGAGGACGGCGGAGTCGCCGCGTCCAATTAAAGGGGCGCTCCAGACCTTATTCCTCGCCGCTGCTCCTAGCCTTTTAAAGACAGGGTGAGAAGGATCGGGAAAGACAGGAGGGATGGAGGCAAAAGGCTCCATCCTTCATCCAAGCCGGAGACAATGGTGAGTGGCTGCGCGAGGACGGGGAGACGGGCAGGGGGAGGCTCCTCGGCCCCCAGGCGGGTGGCGTGACTTCAGGAGGACTCGGACCACCGGCCAGGACTGGGCAGGACGGGAAGGTGTCTGCGGGGCGGGCGAACCGGCTAATCGCAGGAGGAGCGAGGCCGGCCACGCCCCCTCCTGGCCCCGCCCCTCCTGGCCCCGCCCCCCGCGCTGCGCCGCGCCTCCCGGGGCGGGGACGTGCAGCGCAGGCGGGGGCCCAGGTCGCGGGCCGGGGCAGCCCGGGGCCCCCAGCTTCCCGGAGCGGGCGTCTCCGAGAGCGCGCGTGCCTCACGTCCTCCCGCCCGCCCCGCCCCCTGCGCGCTGCGCACGCGCGGCCGCGCCCCGCCCCCGCGTCCCCGCCGGCGTGAGGAGGCCGCTGAGCGCCCGGACCGCGAGCGCGCCGGCGCGTCACGGCCTCCGGGCCCGCCCTCCGTCGACCCCGCCTCCCCGCCCGGTCCTCCCTCCGCCCCCCCTCCGAGCCAGCGGTGACTTAAGCAACGGAGCGCGGTGAAGCCCATTTCTCCCTCTCCTCGCGGCCGCGCCGGGCAGCCCGCGGCGCGCGGCCCGCACGCTCCGGCCCGACATGAACGCTGCGGCGGAAGCCGAGTTCAACATCCTCCTGGCCACCGACTCCTACAAGGTAGCGGCGCGGGCCGGGGGCAGGGGACCGGGTGGCGACGGCGCCCCGGGGCCGAGCGTGGGGCTGAGGGCCGGGGTCGTGGCGCGGGGCGGCCCGAGGGACGCCGGGGCAGGTGGAGCGGGCGCTGCAGTGGGGAGGAGGGCACGGCGGCGGGATGGAGGGAGGGATGGGCGGCGGGAGGCGGGGCCGGGCGCGTGGTCGGGGGCGCGGCGAGGGGCTGGGGCGGGCCGCCGGGGCTCGCGCTCCGGTTGGGGCTGGCGCGGCGGGGCCCGGGCGCCCGGGGCGTCTGCGCCGGGCGCTCGCCGTGCCCGGGAGCGCGGCCCTTTGGCCCCGGGCCGGGTCGGGCTGGGCCGGCCTGGGCGAGGGCTCGCCGAGCAGCGGGGCAGTTAGGTAACGGCCCCTTGGGGCTCTGCGGGGGCGCCGGGGAGCGGGGTCTGAGAAGTGGGGTTTTCCCCGCCAAACGGAGTCGGGGCGCCTACCCCGGTCTGGGCAGGTCCGTCCCTTCCCGCAGAGCGGTGGGCGAGGTCCCGGTGGGGGGCTGGAGCGGCCAGTCGCGTCCCCCCGCCCTGGCCCGGACGACGCTCGTCTGCCCCCGCGAGGCGTGCTGGACTCCTCCATCCCAAACTCCTGTGGCCCTGGTGATCGCTCACTCTCCTCCTCTGCCCTCATTGCGTTAGGACCACTGGAGGATTTCTGTGAAAAGGAAAGTGAAACACGAGGAGTTAAATGCGCTGTAGCTTTAACCCTGGAGAACTTGCGGAGAGAGAAATGGCACAACCATGTGTTAATTTGCCTGTGGGACACTTGCATGTATTGCTGCCCCGTTGATTTTATTTGAAACACACGAATTAGTGAAGGAACGAATGATTGGAGAAGACAGGGCAAATGTTCTTTCCCCTGGGTTCCAAATTATATGAAGTAAACTGAGTATACTTTGCTAAGCTGTGTTAACCAAAACACTTAAAAAGTGAAATGTCAGACCAGAGACCCCACTGGTGCAAAATCAATTTTAGTTTTTACCTGAGCAACATGATGGTTTGGAATATAGTGGTAAAACATAACGCTCTCGTGTTCTGGGATTTTGTTGTGAGGGGTTTTTTTTTGCTTTTTGTTTCTTTCCTTAAATATTCTAAGAAGGTATTCTGGAGAATCCCATTTTACTTAAGTTCTGTTTTGTCCGTTTCTTCCCAATCCGTTTAAGATTCTACGTATGATGCCTTAGATGGGTTATTATTTAAGGTCTTTTAAATGGGGTTTTAAAGTGGAAATCTGCACGATGGCAAGGTAGTATGATGAAGGATGATTTCCTTGGCCCTAAAAGCTCTAGTATTCTTTTAGTTCAATCATAGTGTTTCAAGTGTTTTTAATAGTGATTTTAGAATGGTCTCATTCTTAGTTTTGTAGAATTTTTTTTCTTAAGCAAATCTTTAAAAATTTTTCAGATTTTTTTGTGTAGTAACTTATGATTTGATCAAAATGGGAAATGTAAACAGAGGTTGATGGGTCTAATTTTTAAAAACAAAACCCAGTGCAAGCTCCTTTAGTTTGTAGCTCCTCCAGCCATTGTACATAAGGAGTGTAAAATTGCTTTAACGTTAGTTTTCTGGGATGCTTTCAGTTAGAAGAGTGAATTGCCGGGAACTTTTCTAATCTCCTAGCAAGGTGGAATCAACTGGACTATTAGAATTTGCGTCTATTTAATAGGGTTTATTCCTGTCCATTTTCCAGTCTGACTGGCACGTTTTATCCCCTTTTCTCATATGAAGTCTTTTTGTATTTCTATCTTAGTAAGATTTTTCATTTGTTCCGCAAAAAGTCTCAAGAGGAATCAATCAGGTTATTGTGTTTTATACCAATGGTTTACAGCAGTATAGTAAAATAGATTGTGTATTCCATTCTCAGATTTTAGTCTTTATTTTCCTTAGATTTTTAGCGGCCTATATTCCGTTTTTCCCTTTTTATATTCTTAGGTGAAGAAGAGACAGAAATGATTATCTTGAGGTTAGAAGTAATGAAACTTTCCTTTGGAGATTACATGAGATTATTACACATCCTTATCAGTACTTACGAACTATTGGCCAGTTAAAGTAGGGAAGTAGTAGCTTTAGCTGTGTTGATGGAAGAGAGCGGAACATGTTGACGTCTCCTTTCTGAAACTGAAGAAAGTGTACTTGGCTGTCCAAGCACCTCAACAGGGCTTTTGCGAGTAGATGGCATAGTGTCTAAGCACATGACTTGTGTCCTCTCCACAGGGTTCAGGGCAACTTGGACCAAAGGAGGAGCGTTTAAAATACATATTCATTTCTGTAATCTCGTACTTCATTATACATAGTAGTGAAATAAGAAAATAGGTAAATGTGGTCATTTCCTCCATTTTCATCCTGGGTTTTTGTTACAAATAAAAGGACACTTAATCTTAAGTGTTAATCATTTATATTTCCAAAATGGCTTACAGCACAATTACCTACTGGGTTGTATTTGCATTGTGCTAAGCCAACTAGGAAAAGGTGCATTGGGGCTGGCCTTAGACGTTGCAGTGCCTAAAAAGCATTTGGAACTTTTTTCATCAGAGACAGGTCGTTTTTTTCACTTAATTCTGGCATAGGCTTTAATCAGTGTCCAAATAACTGTGGATCATTAAATGATGCATTTCTGTTCCATCCTTCCTTCCTCTTGCTTCTGTGTAATGTTTTTAACAAACTACAGCAGAGAATAGTTTTAACCTTTCTGAACATTTTAGCTATGAGCAGATTAAAATGGAAGATGTCACTTGAGCTGTAATTGGAAAAAATAACATATAGCGCACAAAAGTAGTCCCTAAGCAATTTACAGTTTAAACCATATCACACATTCTATATGAAATGTGCTGTCCAGTGTGGGTTGCATCTCAAAAGGTCATTTGTAAACTGGTTATCTAGAAGTCAACACGTTCTCATCCATTCATTTGATAAATGTTGGAGACCTATGAGGTGTAAAAAAGACAAAAGATGTCTCTTACATTCCAAGATGCCTGAAAGTTGATTTTAGAGAAGTTACAAAGTCTGTACAATTTATGTGTGGTGATTAAGCACCCAAGGCAGCTCTTTTAAAAAACAAGATTTTGCTTCCTCATTAGTAGCAGAATAACAAAAGGTTGGGCTTTTTGGAGGAGATGAGAATCATCTTACGGACGAGTTAGTGCTGCCTGGGACTTTAGTTACCTAGTGTCTTCCTCTGAGCTCTTCCTACTTTTCGTAGTTGCTTCTCTTTTACTCCCACTGAACAGACATTTAAGGCTGGTCTAGGGCTCCCCTGGCACCTGAGCCGTGTGCGGAGTGGGTACCTTTGCAGTCTGTCTGTCGGGGCCTACCCAGCATTCCTATGCAGTTTTTCCAGTAAGTTTTATGTTATAAATTACAGGAAAAACTTGGGCGACAAAAATAAAATCCTACATATAAATCATGGGTATACTTCATAGGAGGCTTAATTTAGCTCAGTAATAATTGTATAATATCTTACAAAACAAAAATACCAGAAGTTGGGGTCCTCTTTGTCAGTGAATGAAATCTCTCCTAGCGGTGTTGCAACAAGTTACAAGTTGTCAGGAGCTCTGTGCCGGGAGGGTAAGGGGAGAGGTCCTGTGATGACTACAACTGGCTTTGCACCTTCTCCCCTTCCCCAAAACAATGCGGTCCAAACATCCTTAAGCCGTATTTTCGAAGTTTTTATTGCTTCAAAAGCCAAATAGCAATGAATTCTTTTCTGGGGCAACAGAAGTATTTCCAGCACTTGAGAAATAATATTGAAAAGCAGAAAGAACCAGTTATGATGTTTGCTCTTTCTAGCACATTAGCTTTGGGGCTGAGCGGAGCCTCTTCTGAGTGCCCCTAGATATTATGCAGATAACTTCACTTACCCTGTGCCCTTGGGTGTGTTACCCCACGTGCTCTTATATGCACAGAGGACTGTTAAAATGTTGGCTTGTGGTTATTTCTTAGCAGTTAAAAATAAAGTTGTAACTGGAAAAGTAGGCTAGTAGTAGTTACTGTTGGTCACATGATCCCATTTGGGAAGAAAGACATCACATCCACCTTATGGGAAACCCAGAGAAGCTCAGGAGAAAAGCAGACTTTGCTTTCACGGGAGGATCCTATGCAAGTTGAATATTTCTCATGCTTCTCTTTAACTGTCATACTTGGAACACGGATATTTAGCCTTGTGATTGCAGTTTTTAGAAGCTTATTTTTTCATAAAGTAAATCAATCATAAAACTGAAATTAAGGTAAAAGAGCTGCATTTTCCTGGGTGCCTGTATCCTTTACCACACACAGATTCAGGTACTGGCACTGCTCTGTTAGCTGCGGAAGGCCATGCCAGTATCGGAAATATATTTTTTAGGGGTAAGGTTTGCTGAGGATATTATGAGATATTTGCTATTTTCATCTTGTAAATAACTTTAAAGTTATTGTAGAACCATTTTCTCTAGTGATGGGAGTCAAAACAGTGTTAAAAAACAACATGATTTAAGAGCTCCCTCTTTGTAGTTCACTTTAATTCTGAGTACTATGAAACTTTTTGTTAGTAATACTTAACGTATTTAAGACTGAGCTCTTGATTTCCCTACCTGCTCCTTCAGGGCCTTCCCCGTCTCAGTTAAGGGCACCATTATTCCTCCAGTTGCTCACACCAAAACTCTAGGAGCCACCCCTAATTCCTCGCCCTCTTTACCTCCCAAATCTCATCTGTCAGCCTGATTCTCCTTTATCTCCGAAGGTAGTGGGCAGTTCTCTCACCTAGCCTAGTCTTTGGCAGGAGCCTCTCACTGATGCTTCTGCTCCCACCCTGTCACCCTGTAATTATTCTCCACCTCACGCCAGGCTGATCCCTGTAAAATGTGAATCGGATCACACTCACTCAGCCTAAAACACACTCTTGGCTTCCGTTGCACGCGATATAAAATTCAGGCTCCTTGTGGTAGCCTGTGAGCCAGGCGTGATCTTGCCCTGCATCTCTCTCTGACCTTATCATGGACCCCCTCTCCTCCCCGTTCTCGAAGCACCAACCACATTGGCCTTCATTCTGTTCTGTCCTTGAAGTCAACTTATTTCCTCTCTCCTTGCCATTTACATCTTGCTCAAGGGTCACCATCTCAGAGAAGCCTTCCTGGCCCCTACTTAAAGTAGTCACCCAGGCCCCTCTAGCCTATCATGTTCTTTTAATTTTTCATACGATTCATCTAGATCTGAAATTATTTTCTGTGTTGTTATTCTCTGACCTTTCAGCCCGCGTTAGCCCTATGAGAATAGACAGCATCAGTCTATTTTACTCTCCCACCGTCAGCGTCTGAAACAGTGCCTGGTGCATAGTAGGTACAGAGTACATATTTGTGAATGAACAAACTGTTTATAAAGTAACAATTTATTGATTTGAATTTCTGCTATATCATCTCATTTTTCTGCTGAAGGTTCCAAGGGGTTCAGAGTGACCACTTTAACAGAAAGTAAAATGAAGAGGACAGTAAACCTAGCAAAACTAGAATCATAAATCATGTATTGATGGTATTCTTAGAAAATTTACTAAGGAGCTTTAAAAACTTTTTCCCACGAAAACAGTGTGTATATACCAATATACATAGATCTGAACAAACTATTTTATTCTTCTGTAAACGTATTGAGTGTTAGTAGGTAGTTAGTAAATTATGTTTCCTGGTTAATTGCTTGAGAGTTTGCCTAGGTGACCTAGATTGTTTAGCTAAATTCTAAAACAGTTCTCTCCAGTTTTTCCAAAGAAGATTTTAGAAGTCATACTTCGTTTCTTATTAAGCAGCTTAGATAATTTTGTGTTTTTAGTGACATCTGTTTTCAGGGGAGGCATTCTGAATATTTGATAGGTTTTAAATACCGTAATTAAAAAATACAGCTGGAGTAAAGTTTTACAATTATAGACATTTAATTATTGTCGAGCACTGGAACTGTATCTGTATGATGGAAAATTTGTAGTATACGTTTATACGAAGATGGAGTTCAGTAGTTTAGGGAGATTTCCATTCAGCTTTTGACTGCTTGGTCTACTCAGAAGATGGGGATAATTCATTTGCCATCTTGTACTTTTAAATGCAATCTAGAAAGAATAAATGTATAAAGATGCACCATAAAGTATCTGAACTGTAGGAAGGTTAAACTGTTGAGAGTCCCAACTGTGAATCTGACTTTTATGAACTCGGTGATGTGATCCAGACCTTTATTGAACTTTTACTTCTTCGTGGTTGACTTTTCTTCTACCTCGCTGCTTATTCCCACTAAAGGATTGGAGTTGTTTAGATTGTAAACTGGGCAGTTTCATTTTTATATACAGCTTGGGTACATTTTTAGAAAGTGTATCTTTTTCTAATCAGTTTCAAGTAGTTGAAGTAGTAAACATTTGCTATTAGGGCATCATTTGTATGTATATTTATATTGCATTTTAGTGAATTGGCTAATAGATTTAATTGCTCCAGATTCTGTGTTAGCTATTTCACTTAGCTACTTCTGAAATCTAGAAATGACGTGTACTTCTAGGTTCTGATGAGGCTCCTGAGCTTTGTAGTATATACATATCTCTTGTACCTGAGCAGAACAAAGTTCCAACTCGGGGGCATGACTTGGACATTCAGACCACGTGTTAATGTAAAGATCACCCGCAAGGTCACGTGTAAGCAGCATGGGGGTGCTGTGTTTTAGAGTTGCAAGTTGCTTCTGTTGGAGAGGAAACATATTTGAAACTATTGTGATTTTTGCTCTCTATGTGGGGTGTATCCATTTCAGATTTTTGTGCTAAGGTAGAGATGCTTGAGGTTAAAGCCGAGTTTTGCTGGGATTGAGATTGTGCAGCCAGACAAGGAAAACATTGGTTTTCTTAAACAAGATCAGAACCAAACAGAAAAAATGGTTTTATGTTCACAGTGGTCATCCGTGGAACTTGGTCTGCAAAGGTTTATTCTGCCATCACCCTGATTCACCACCCTGTACCTTGAGCTTTAGAGCATTATTCTTTCTGCTCCTTCAAGTGGGCAAATACACATTATTCTTCCAGTTATTTTTTATTGGTAAAATGTTTTAACCACATTAAACTATAATAAAATTCACATTGTAATGAACACTCCCTTTTTTTTTCCTTAAAACTCAGCAGAAACAAATTCATGGAAAAGAAGTTTGTGAATTCATATTTTTAAACTCATAAAGATTTGATGTTGCATTTTATAGCCATTTATTTTCCAATTTGGAGGTAATTTGAGAAAAAGATTACAAAACAGGATTTTTTTTCTGCTGTTGCTTTCATCCAGGTTTTCATGGAGTCACGGTGAAGACGAGCAGGGGTCCTCCTCAGCACCCCATTATAGGGATGAAGCAGTAGGGTCGTGGGAAGTCATTGACTGTTGGCTTTTTGAACACGCCACATTTAGACAGTAACAGTGCCAACTTGTGCTTTCAGCTTACTCTGTTGTATCCTGGGTATGCCCCCAGCAGCTGCATCTCTCCTCCCCGGAGGGAAGACTGTTCCCCAGGATCACATAAGATCCCTCTCTTTGTACTTTTATCTCAAGCGGCCAGCTTAGAGGCCTCGCGCTGCACCACGTGCAGTGCATGTGTTTGTCAGGTTTTGTACTCTCCTGTGGTTCTGGATCGAAGATGCTGAACTATTAAAAGTACCTTAGTAAGTATGGCACTTATTTCTTATTCTTTATAGCCAAGAAAAGAAGCTAATCAATAGCAAATAAGGAGTGTAGTTTCTCTGGTTTTAAATCATTTCAAGCCTTTTCTGTTGTGATTGATACTCTCTTCTGGAGTTTTCTAACTCAAGCATTTCTCTTTCACACAGGTTACTCACTATAAACAGTACCCACCCAACACAAGCAAAGTTTATTCCTACTTTGAATGCCGTGAAAAGAAGACAGAAAATTCCAAAATAAGGAAGGTGAAATACGAGGAAACGGTATTTTATGGGTTGCAGTACATTCTTAATAAGTACTTAAAAGGTATTATTTTCCGAGTACATTTAAAACACTGCTTTTATAAAACTTCATAATTTTTTCCTATATTGTTATATTCTAATACTTGAAGTAACTTTTTGAATAGTTTAATTTTGACATTTATTTAATTACTGTAACTATTTCCACAGTTCCTTTGGAATTTTTTTAAACCTGTTCATTTGAATGCATTAAATCTTATAATTTGGTATATGTTCTTGGTGTTCTAAATATGAGAAAGATTTTCTGAAACTGTTAAGTTGGGAATAGGTTTAGAAAAGTCAGTTTTCTGAGGCTAATCTGATTGGTTAAATAGACTTTACTCATTAACTCAAAATAAAGGATTCATTACTGACCTGGGAACTCATTTTGAATTATGGTAGCAATTGTAATTAGAATATTTCCATGCTGGTCGGTTTGACCTTACACGCCTGTTTCTGAAAACTACCTATAACTGTAGACATAGTCTCAAGTGCATTTTAAAGCAGAAAAATCTCCAAAATAATTTCCGTGCCTTCTTCTTGGAAAGTCTATTTCTAGTCTGTTTTATAATGGTATTTCTATGGGGAAAAGAGTTCCCAAAGTATTTATACATTTTGGGAAATTTTGTGTCTAACGTGTTCAAATAAAAATTATCTCAGAATTGAATACAAATTAAGTTGAATTTTATGCACATAATAACCTTTTCCCATAATCTTGGCGATTTTAATATCAGACAGTTGAGATATGTTGTACTATTGAAAACCTGCTTGGGTGGGAAAAGTACTTTGCAGCAAAACCACCCAAAATATTTTAAATGAGTTTCCTAGTGATCTTATATAGAGAAAGTTACCAAAGGCTAATATCACACTTTAATTCTACAGCTTAAAAACGTCATAAAATACTATTTTTTTATTGATGACAGCTGAAACATATTGATTGCCTGTTATAGGCCAGTGTTATTGTAAGTGCTTCATATGTCTTAACTCATTTAGTCCTCACAACCACCCTCTAAGTAAGTATTCTGCTATGATTATCCCCATTTTACAGATTAAAAAAGTTAACTAAAAGTGTATTTGGGGGGCCAAAATTTAGTAATTGTGAAAATTATTGGATTATCAGCCCTAGAGACATCCTTTATGAATAAAGTACAAAGCTTCTCCTAGAAAATCATCTGTGTCAAGGCTTACTCCTTCAAATTTGAATATGTGAATTAATAAAGATAGAAAGCATGTATCTGAGAAGTTAATTTATTGTGATTCTAGAAAACTATACATGTAATGATTTCTTGCGCACATCTGCTTTTCAAATAGGTTAACATTTATGCTAGAGTGAGTGGTTGGATGTGCAGATTCCTTTTCTGGCTCTGCTGTTGACTCAGGGTGAATCATTTAACCTCTCAGTTCTCATGTTTTTATCCATAAAATGGGTGAAATAGCTAGAGATAGTATCCCCTGACAACTCAGCGACTCACAGAATGCCTTTAGAAATGTAAACAGGGCACGTTTCTCCTTTCAGGTAAAGTAGTGACCAGAGAGAAGATCCAGGAGGCCAAAGAGGTGTACAGAGAGCATTTCCAAGATGACGTCTTCAACGAGAAGGGCTGGAACTACATTCTTGAGGTAAAATATGGGCTCCTGTTTGGATCTATTTTGATTTTGCTTTTAGTTCACAATTTCTTACAAAAGAATTTGAACAGAAGATTAGACTGTAATTACAGCTCTTTTCTTTCTGTGACCCAAAGACATTCTTGTGAAAAGTTATGGGCAACATTTAATTATTTCTTTCTTTCTTTCTTTCTTTTAGTGAGGAAGGTTGGCCCTGAGCTAACATCTGTTGCCAGTCTTCCTCTTTTTGCTTGAGGAAGATTGTCACTGAGCTAACATCTGTGCCAGTCTTCCCCTATTTTATGTGAGACACCTCCACAATGTGGCTTGATAAGCAGTGCTAGGTCTGCACCCAGGATCTGAACCCGCGAACCCCAGGCCACTAAAGCAGAGCATGTGAACTTAACTGCTGTGCCACCAGGCTGGTCCCTGAATTGTTTTTTGTGGTAGCAAATCATTAGTATCTAGAATCTCCAGCAGATCTAAGTAATTGGTTAGGATAGAAATGAGTTATAATTCAAATAACTAGCATTTTTCAGAAAGGTGATTTAATCCTTTCTTTGAAAATATACTATAATTAAGAAAGGGCATGGTTATTTGGCAGTTTCAAAATTTAGGTCCATTGTTTTGACTGTAGAAGTAGATGCTGTGAGTCTGTCCCTACATGCTAATTCTAGGAGATTGCCCTTACTGAACAGTTGCAATGGGTTGCTGCAGGTCCATGCCGTTGACTTTATTCTCTGTTGTTCTGTAGTGTTCATGGCGAGCACGATTGGCTCCATTGCTTAAACTTTAGGGCATCCAAAGACGGGGGATTTGCGTTGCGAGAGTTGAGTGTCCTCTGCAAGTTTTCTTTATTACAAAGATAGGTTGGCAGTGGGATCTCTTGGCATCTTGCCATGTTGAGTGTTAATTTATTGTGTCTTAAAGGTGAATGTCTTTTCCATTGTAGACTATCAAACATAAGGTAGTTAGAAATACTTTAACTTTCATGCCTGTATTGTAATACTGGGTTTTACTGTTTGGTACTTACGGGTCTTTGAAGAAGTCACGTAGGCTCTCTGCTGTGGTTTTCCCGTGTCTTGAGAAGGTCCGTGACATCTTTTGGCCACCCCCTGCACTCATCCCCTTGGGGTTGTTGTGAGGATCATAGTAATGGATAAGTTAGGTGCCGTGCTCGTTAATATAATTCCCAGTGGCCAGGGCGATAAATCTTTTGATTTTATGGTCAGAGAATCTTAGGGATTCGTAGGTTAGTCTCTAGAGATACCCTTGTCTTAACCCCATTTTACAAGCATGGAGTCTGAGACCTGTAGATGTTCAGTGACCTGCCGGAGGTCTCCTGCCTGCCCTGGGCTCCCAGCTGCCCTTCTAAGGCCGTGTTCTTTCTGCTGTGTCATGAGGCCTCCAGGGCTTCTCATCAAGCAGATTTTTCTCCTATCTAGCTACTTTGTCTCAAATCACATAAATAAACTATAAGGATTTCTGAAACAACTTCCTTTCCTAGCCAAAAATTAGCCATGGCTTTTAGCTTTAAAAGAGGGGAGGCGTAATTAAATAACTAGTCACATAGCATGTAGCAAATATATCCTCCTCCTAATTTTGGAGAGAATGGTTGCACTTATTGTTGATTGCCAGAGCTCTAGAAAGTGTACTTATGATTGGTCTATCTGCTACCACAAGGGTTTCGGGTCTACCACCAGAGTAAAGAGAAGGCCTAGTTAAGGTGCTTCTACTGGCAAGGAGCTCTCTCTGTCTTGAATTTATTTTTTGTTTGTTGTTATTTTCTTTGTTTTGTTTTGCTCTTTGCTAGCAGTCCCGTATTTTATCTTTCAGTCTTGAGCCTTTCTTTTAGGAAAATGACCTAGTAGAAGGAAGATGGTGTGTTTTGGGCATATGTTGGAATTTTTATTTTTTTAAGAGTGGAAAACCAACTTTTTTCTTTTTATCAGTTTGAAATTATATCTTCTAGTGATAAATGTTCTTTAGCAGAAGCACTTTGACAGCATAAAATTTAAAAATTAATGTCAGTGCCAAACTGTTAATCATTTTAGTTAATTTTATTTCAGGAGGATATGGATATTCTGACTCGATTATTAGCAGTTAGTAACATCTACAGTTGCAGTTTCTGTGACAGTAAGTTTAGCTTCTGTAAAATATAAAGAACCTTATTAAAACAGGTAGCTGCATATCATCTGTTAAATGAATAACTTCGTTCTTGTCTCTTACCAGAAATATGATGGGCATCTTCCAATAGAAGTAAAAGCTGTTCCTGAGGGCTCTGTGGTTCCCAGAGGAAATGTGCTCTTCACAGTGGAAAACACAGATCCAGAGTGTTTCTGGCTTACAAATTGGATTGAGGTGAATTGTTTTGTTTTGTTTTAATTTCTTATTTAATATTAATTGAAGATGTAAAAGCCATTCAACTGGGATTCTAGTTTAAAAATTGCGCCTAATAAAGCTATGTAATCTCTACAGTTACCAAACTTTTCGAGGCCTCAGTTTCCTCATCTATAAAATGACAGTTGGACTAAATACTCTTGAAGCTTCCTTCCAGTGAAATCTAATATTCTGAGATTTTATCTAAGTCAAATTATTAAGAATTATTATTGTTAAAGTTCATTTGGCTTCCGTCTTATTCGTTGCAGTCCTAAATACATATTATCATAAAGGAAAACTAGAAAAACAGCACAGGTAGATTTTTAGTAACTTAAGAAATTTTATGGATAGTCTGTTCCAGTTAGACTAAAGGAGTTACGATCAAATTTTTAGTAACTACTTTCTTCATTCATCTAATCAGTTTATGGCCCAGGCTCTACCACCTGATATTTCTCCTCTAAATATATTCAGGATTCACTGATCATTTGTTCAATTTCTAAGCCCAAAAGGAGGGTACATTATAGACTCTGAGTTTATATTCCAAAGACTTTTTGGTTGTTTGTTTTCCTTGCATCTAATCCTAAGCAATCATATGTTTTCATATGCTTATAATTATATTTTTTGTCTTAATATCACTTTTTATTATTAATAATCACTTACCTTCTTAACAGCTTAATTTAGATTTTATGTATGAGAGGAAATAGCCTGGAAAGTGTCTGTAGAAATATCGCCTGACTCTGAGAGGCATTTACTTAGTGCTTAGAACTGACTCTCTATCTTACTAGTTTAGTAGTTAAACTAATTTGTTGTTATATTGTAAAATAATACATTTGAGATTTGTTTATAAAGGCTGGAAAAATTTAGAAAAAGTAAGAGGTCCACAAATAGGTTTGAAATGTAGTGTTGCTAAGTCAACAGGAAATTTAAAACGTTTTTATTAGACTCTTGATGTGCCATCAACTAATAGTAGGTTAATGGACTCAGAAAAAATGTACAATTAACTAAAATAAAAATTTTAAATAGTTACTACTATGTCTTAAAACTTTGAATTAACTGAACTCAAAGTAAAAGAAAATGTATCTTTTAGTTTTTGTACAGTTGTCATAGTATTTGTACTGGCAAATATTTGATTTTGAGAGAATGGCATTATAAAAACACAGGAGTAGAAGAGTTCTTCACCACATTATCTAGTCTATCCTTTTACCAATGCCAGGAGATCCCAAACAGATAAATCTTAAGGGATTTAAAATCATCATCTATTTTTTTATCACCATTTTTTTTTAAGTTTCCTAAAGTTGAGAATTTAGTCAGTAAGTTCTCTTTCCTTAGATCTGTTAGAACTTCCATAAAGCAGATATTAGTGGACATAGAGACGTCTAGTTCCCAATTCACCTTGCTTTTTCTTTTTCTTGTTTTTCTTTATCCTCTTCAGAAATTGAAAAAGCACTAGCTGTAGAAGAAAGAGCCTGTTTTAGTAATCATTATTTTGGTGTATTTCACTAAAAAAAACCACAAAGTAAAAAGTTTTATATAGAGACATTTTAGAGTAGTAGTTTATTAGCAAATATGTAAATAAAATTATTATTATTATTTTTTTTTGGTGAGGAAGATTGGCCCTGAGCTACCATCTGTGCCAGTCTTCCTCTATTTTACATGTGGGATGCTGCCACAACTTGGCTTGGTGAGTGGTGTGCAGGTCCACACCCAGGATCCAAACCCACAAACCCTGGGCCACTGAAGTGGAGCATCTGAACTTAACCACTACGCCACTGGGCTACCTCCTAAATAAAAGTATTTTTAATTTAGAAATTATTAAACATAAAATATAACATGAGACTGTTAGATTTTTAAGGAAAAAAAGTACATAGTTCCTTGTTTTTATTTGCTTATAACCTGAAACAGAACTTATGTCAAGTTTACTTTCTATTCTACTAATAGATTTTATTTTAAATAATTTCAGTCCTAGCTAGGTATTTTTATCTGAGGCACAAAAGTTTATGGTCTGACTCAATCCCATATTGTCACTGGCTAGATCCTGTTTTACCAAACTTGTGTTGCCTCTAAATCCCAGGTCTCCAGAGGAGACTACTTCCTCCTGACCTCACGCCCTCTCTGGGTTTGTGGGCTTAGAGCAGGCTCATCTTGCTCTCGCCCACCCCCAGCCCCAGTTTACTGCCCCGCCGTATGTGTGAAATCTGTTACGGCACCCAGCAAACCTCTTGTTTACAAACGGGTAGGTTTTCTTCAGGCAATCCTTGATTTCAGACATTTTAAGTAATAGTACTAAGTTGTATTCCTTCCAGTTCCTTCTCCCAGTGTATGTTCAAGGTTACTAATAATGTTGTGTGATTGTCAGTCATCACACACTGAATTCTAAAATCCACTAAAACTGTTGGATTGCTTTACTGATTTTGGTGTTGGTGCTAGAAGAAACCTCAGTCCTCAAGTCAGATTTCAAAACGCGTTTCAGAGAGCCTAAGGACTCCGCAGAGCGTCTCAGACTTCTGAGGGGCTCAGGAGTGGGCACATGGGCCACACCTAACCGTCTCTTCTACCAAAAACAACAGAAAACAAAAAGAAAAGATGACTTTAAAGCCATTCCACCAATCCTGTGCCCTCGTGTCACAGATGGGGAAATTGAGCCCTGAGAGGTGAGCGGACGAGGCAACAGAGCAGGTCCCTACCCCTTTCTGCAAGGCCACACCTCTTCTCATCCTTTAAAATTCCTCTCCTGCACAGTAACATTGTAGTAAACTTGGCTTAAATGACATTTGTAGCTTCGTTTACTTTAGTCTTACTTTTCAGCTAAAAATTTTATCTTGATTTGTGTGAGCAAATAGCCGTTTTGGAAAAGTTTCCAACAAGGTCTACTTTATTGGACCTTGGAATAACCCGAACTAACTTGCCTTTTTTTCCCTTGCTTACACCTACAGTGATCTTTTTTAAAGGGGAGTGATTTTGTTAAGAGTATAATTTAAGCTGATTTTGTTGGACTGTGGAAAGGAAATGGTGGTGTGAAGGATCACTGTGTCTCATAGTTATTTCTCTCCTTCCCTGGCATTTTTCGAGGGGTAAGGTCGATCTTCTACCTTTATAACTCAACTAGAGTTTTTCACCTAATGTTTTATATCTTTCTCTTACTCCTAGATAATATCAATCTGAGTTAAGTTAAAATGTGAGTGTTAATCGAGTTAAATTCAACAAATGAGTATTGATTGATTACCAGCTATGTGCCCAAAAGTGCTGGGCACAGAAATTAGAGTCAGATATGTCTTATATGAGGTCGTTTGGGGGAGGAGCAGTTCATTCTTAACCAACCACTAATATGAGTAAGAATTAATGCTGAATTGGTAGCAGAAAAATAGATACTTCTGTCTAATCAGGAAATGGAAAATAAGCTCTAATAGGGGAAAGGAAGAACTGAGGAAATGGCACGGTGTTCCTAGAATGGCAGATGGCCCAAGGGGAACTGCAGCATCAAAGTGGAAGATAAAGGAGGAGATAAACCTCTAGATGGTAAACAAGGCCAGATTATAGGCGGCCTCAAATTTCTGCATGAATTGGCTCTTTTCCCCTATGGACAGAAGATAGCCGCTCGAGGATTGTAGGGATTGACGCAACCTCAGTAAAACTCCTGCTTTAGAATAGCTGGTGGCAGTGTGAAGGGTGAGTCAGAGAAGCTAAAGATTAGAGGTAGGATAATCATGGGCGTTGGTAATGGAATCAAAAGAGTAATTTCAGAAGCAGAAGGATTAGAAATTGGAGATGATTGGGGCCAGCCGGGTGGAACAGCAGTCAAGTGTGCACGTTCCACTTTGGCGGTCTGGGGTTCGCCAGTTCGGATCCCGGGTGCAGACATGGCACCGCTTGGCAAGCTGTACTGTGGCAGGCGTCCCATGTATAAAACAGAGAAAGATGGGCATGGATGTTAGCTCAGGGCCAGGCTTCCTGAGCAAAAAGAGGAGGATTGGCAGCAGATGTTAGCTCAGGGCTGATCTTCCTCAAAAAAAAAAAAGAAAGAAAGAAATTGGAGATGATTGTTAATAGAGTTTGTTAGGGGTTGTATCAGTTTTCTATTATCGTACAAGAAACTGCCGCAAAATAAAACAACTATCATTTCTCATGATTCTGTGGTTGACCGGATGGTTCTCTGCTGGTCTTGCTTGGACTTATGCATCTCCATTCCACTAGGGTTCGGCTAGGACAGGACAATCTAAAGTGGCCTCACTCCCCTGTCTGGGGCCTCAGCCCAATGCCTCGGACTGCTGGGCCTCTCCATAACTGAGGCTGCTTCATAGCGGTAGTCTCGAGGTTCGACGAGAACGAGAGTAGAAGCTGTAAAACCTCTTGAAACAGGAGCTTGAAAGTCATACAGTATGGCCACCACCACATTCTGTTGGTCAAAAGCAAATCGAAGGACAGCCCAGAATCGAGAGATGAAGAAACAGATTCCATCTCTTGATGAGAGGAGCTGCAAAGATTTGGGGCCATATTTAATCAGTCATAGGAGTCTCGTGCTATAGTTATTTTTCTTTTTAGGTGACCATGTTGGGAAGTCCAAGGTTAAATAATCTTTTTATTTGTTTCTGCTTATATTATTTGTTGATCACTTAGCTGGTATTCAGTAAGAGCTTATTTTGTAAAATTTGAGAAATTAAATAGCTTTTTGAATGAACTCAGACATTGTTGTCATTTTAGCAGCTTTTTCTTAAACGAATTTGAGGCTGATTCTAATAACAGACTATCTGATTTATAAAATAAACATAGAATATTATGATCCTAGAATGGAGAAGGAATGCATTCCCAAACCATGATCATTAACGCAGTTGCTGTGATTAAGCATCAGACCTTCTTGGGGTTTCCTGGCAGCCAAGGAAAAAAGAGAAACCAAGGGACAGTTCTTAGCAGAAAGTAGGAACCTAGCAATTCTTCCATTTCCTCATATGGGAATTTATATAATAGGCACTGAGTTATAAAATAGTGATCTTGCAATTTTACAGCATATACTGAAATGTTTCGTGTGGCTTTCTTAGAGTGACCTTTGATAAATCCAAGGACATAGAGCTTAACTCGGTGAATAGGATTCTCTGGTGCTAAGCAAAAGTATCTCAAGTATGTAATCTAGTCGTAGTCGTATTAGCCAAGGAAAAATTAGATCCAAAACTACCTAGAGGAAGTGGTGAATCCCTTCTTTAGACCCGTACTGTTGAGCGTGTAGTCCATGCACCACTGCGGGTCCACGCAGGGCCTCGTTAAATATGGAAGTTGAGGATAGGCATTTAGAAACTGTTAGAGTAGTTGCCTCAACATCCAGGTGTGAGTATATTTTATAAAACTATTGGTCCATGACACAGTGAAGATTTTTTTACAAAGTAGCACTTCATCACAGATAGTTTTCCTAAAGAAACTTCTTTGGATAGAAACTAGGCAATTTGACGTTTTCTACTGTTGAGGGCCTGGTGTGCTTGCCCTTTGTTTGGTGGATTTGAGAGCTGACCTGTGCACTGTATTTGGGATGCACGTAGTAGGCATCCTGCTATACAGTTGAAATAGCTAATGGTTTTTCTAGTAGTATGGAAGTCTAGGACATACCTCCAGGGAAAGCTAGGATTTTCCTCAGAAAGAACCCAATATTTTCTGTACTAATATTTGTGGTTAATTTTCTTACTACAGACTATTCTTGTTCAATCCTGGTATCCAATCACAGTGGCCACAAATTCTAGAGAGCAGAAGAAAATATTGGCCAAATATTTGTTAGAAACATCTGGTAACTTAGATCGTCTGGAATACAAGTTACATGATTTTGGCTACCGAGGAGTCTCCTCCCAAGAGGTAAGGAAGTGTGAAATGCAACTCATTGAGTAAGGTCTGGGCTCTCGGTTAGATCACCACTGTCGACTTCTTGGGAAGTTATTGGGGTTGATCTTGGGTCTAAGTAGGCCACATTTTGAAATTGTAGAGATTCAGTCAACATATATGTTCAGTACCTACTGTGTGTCAGCCCCTGTTCAAAGTATGTGGAATATAGCTTTCAACAAATGTCCCTGTCCTTTATATCTTAGATTGATGGATGAATGCACAGACAGATGGACAGACAGACATAATAAGTTTAGCAGATGTCAGATAATGCTACAGAGAGCACAAGGCATAGTAAGGGAAAAGAAGGCAATGGGAAATGGGAGCGGTTCACTATTAAATAGGTCTCTTTGAGGACGTGACAGTCGAATCCTTAAATATTTAGGAAAAGCTGGATCTTTGTCGAAGGGAACTATTATCAGAGATATCTGATGTTCTCTCTCTAAGAATAGCTGAAGACAGTAATTCTTTGGGGAGCTGTGCTGGCTACCTCAAGTATGGGTCTTGTTCTTTTTTGGATTTGGGTTTATTGTTTATTTTCCAGACTGCTGGCATAGGAGCGTCCGCTCATTTGGTTAACTTCAAAGGAACAGATACAGTAGCAGGAATTGCTTTAATTAAAAAATACTATGGAACGAAAGATCCTGTTCCAGGCTATTCTGTTCCAGCAGCAGAACACAGGTAAAATTCGATTTTCATCCTCCCATTATCTAAACGTTTGTTTTCTGAAACTTTTTTCACTCTTGTCTTTGTAATTGTGACGTTTTGCGTAACTATAGAGCCAGGCACTACAGTAAATCTCTGTGAATTTAAGCAGTACAAACTCAGTACTTAGACTTTGTGTCAAGATTCATTTCAAGGAGGTAGAGAAATATTAACCATCCTAATAGAAGCAATGTAAGAGCTTTTATCCAACTCTTACATTGACATATAGGTTTATGTTAAGGACTTTTTCAGCTGCTCTGTTGCCGTATGCAGATTGGTTTTATTAAATTAAGTCTGGAAGGGCTCACTGGAAAACCTGGTCACTTCCCCTTTCCCTGCTCCGCTCCATGCGCTGGCCTGTCTCTGCCCTGGAAGTTGTCGTCAGGACCCAGCACCCTCGATTGTAGATGAGCAAGTAAAGGCCTTCGATGAAAGGGAGGGGGCTCAGGTTCCTCTCGTGCCTCCTCGTCTGATCTTCAAACCTATCTCAAGTTAATCTAGAAGGCGCTTATAATCTGGGCTGCAGCTGCTCTGGTCCTAGAATTAACTTTATTGGAAGTCGGTGGAGTTTTTAAAACGTGTGCCAAACCTTATGCCTGGTTCCTACAACAAAAATTATTTACTGTAGTTGTTTGGGAAGGTATATTAAGTTCTCCTCATATGTGAATATTGCAGGGTGCCAAACCCAACGGTGAGTTGAGAATAAAGCTGAGCTTTTATGGAAGGCAGTCCACTGGGTGCTGCAGGGGATAAAAGGATATAGAAAACTGACCCTATCTTTGGGATAAAAATAGTACGCTAGCAACATTCTGCTCTGTTGAGTGAGTCCTTTTAGAGAGGTACGATTAAAGTGCTCCAGCGGTGCAAGGGAGGGAAAGGAGGGGTCCTGTTCCACTGGTGGCTCAACGAAGGCTTTATAGAGATGGTTTGTGAGCCCGTGGCTTCTTGAGGAATGGTAAGACTTAAAGGCAGACGTAGGGGACCATTGGTTCTCTGAGTAACATTTATTGCCTGCCTACCCTGTGTCAGCATTGTCCTGAAAGAGCAAGAATGGAAGAGGAGAGTGTGAAACTGTTTAGGAAATACGGGCTGAAGCAGAGAGGTTTTGGAGGGAACCTGGGTAGACTGGGAAGACAGGTTAGGAGGCCCCCAGATTCGTTTCCATGTTGAGTATCAACTCTGAATGTCAGGCTGGGTTGTTCTGACTGCGTTTTCAGATGGGAGCGGGCATTGAAGTTTCTGAGCAGAGGGGTGATGTCGGAGAACTGTTTGAGGACGATGATGTTGATGGCAGGCTAGCCTGGGAGCTGAGGGAGAACCGGGAAGGCAGGAGGCTCTGCAGGAAGCTGCTGCAGTAGTTTTGAGAGGTGACGAGGTTCAGAACCAGGCGGCTCGATGGGGAGAAGCAGATAAACGTGAGCAGTGGCTTCTGAGGTGCACTTGGGAGAACCTGACGATTTGCACTGGGGCTCAGTAGAGAGTCAATTCAGCTGAGGTTTACGAGCATCGCTGTGTTAGTTGGGCCTTACTGAATACTTTCACATTCAAGACTCGTGAAACTGCGAAGATGAGGACGTCTTTAACAGATAAAGGTTTTAGGGTTACAGTATTTTTATTTCAGACTTAGATGTATGTGTATCTTTTAAAAACTTAATGTAGTATCCATATATTAAACTCTTCACTGATGGTTTTGTTTCAAAGTAATAACCTCATGAGTAAGATGCTCTAAATCTGAGACTAAAGATAATATCTTCTTTAGAGTTTTCATGTTAAAGCAGGATGAAAATCCATTTTCTTTTTATAGTCTCAAAATATTTACTACATTTGTAAATTTGACTCCTTAATATATAAGATTTCAGATGTTCTTAAATAGAAAAGTCTTTTAAACAACAGCATCGTGTAGTGAAAGAGCTTTGCACTGAAAGTTGGGAAACCTGAGTGACCTTACAGCTGACCTACTGAGTGGCCTTGGGCAAGTCACTTCTCTCTCTGTTCTTCAGTTCCTTCAGCCAGCCAAACAAAAGGAGGAGCTAAAATTGTACATCTCCAACATCAGACGATCATTGGGGATAAATGAGCTAACACCTGAAAAATAAAATAAGAGAACTCTAAAATTTAGAGCATTGCCGTTATTGTTATAAATATTTTCTTAAGGAATATATGAATCTGGACTTAGAAATATTCAGTTACATAACTTTTCCCTCAAACTTTGGAAAGGTATCAAATTTATTTTGATGCTGGAAATTGGAATTATAGCATGAGTAGAATTCATTGAATAAATATTTATAATTCCATATACCAAGTACCATGTTAGAATAGAGGTTATGATTGCATTACATAGAGGGTGCTATAGAAAATGTCTATGGGATGATGAGATGAAGAAATTCACCTTCCTGCGTAACAAAGTGATCTGGAGTCCAGAAGAAAAACCTGAGCTGAGGTACAGATTTCGGAAACTGTCCCCACACAGGTATTTTTGAAAAACTTTGCGTGTTTTTCAGCCAGGGTGATGTGTAGAGGGAGGGAGTGCCCAGGTCAGAGCCTTGGTCAGATAGAAGGAGAGCACAGCATCTGGGGGAAGCTGAAGAGGAACCGTAGAAATAGAAAGAAAATCTGAATGTGGGGGACGTCATTGAAGTCATAGGAAGAAAGCTTCAGGAAAGCTCAGATGCCCCGCTGAAAACAAGTCAGATAAAGACTGAAAATGCGCAATTCCATCTGCTAGACGTGGTACCGATAGCAGAGTTCGATGGCTCTGTTGATACAGTGCGGGAAAACGTCACTCCATGAGCAATGACCCCTGACGGTAGGAGCTTATTCTTACATTGCAAACCTCTCCAGTGTTGGTGTTCTTTGAGCATAATTCTCTCCCTTACATAGAGGACAGTAGCAATTCTCGATGTAGACACGGGCTTCTCTTCATTCACGTCCTAATTTCCCCTTCGGCCTGCGCATGTTTGCGTGAAGTACAGTTGGCGTCATAGCTGCTAGCATCCCCGTAGTTGTTGAGAAAAGCGTTCACTGTAGGATGAGTTCTCTATAAAGGGGCTCTTTCTCCATTTCAGACAAGAGTAGTCTCTGAGTACTACATCTTTATAACCCTGAAGTGTGTGTGCTCTGCTGTCACCAGCATGCCGTTGAAAAGTTGTTTACTCTAGTCCTTTAGGAAAAAAATAAAAATAAAATGACAGTTTCGAACATAAGTTAGTATGACTGTTCAGACAGTTTTGAGATAAACTTATAGCTGTCTGGAGTTATATAACAAACGGGTTATCTTACTTTCCATTATTTTACTTAAGGAAAATGGGGCAGAGGCAAAGACTAAAAAATTAAGGAGAAGGAAAAATTGCTTGACATGAGGAAATGGTAACAATTATTAAATTCTGTTTAAGAACTTTAGAAATGGTTTATATTAGATATTAATTAGCCAACAAGTGCTTAAGTTACTTATTATTAATCTATTCAGTAAGAACCATTCTTGAGGCCATTGTAAAAATCACTATAACCATTCTTGCCTGATAGAAACTCTCATACTTTATTTCTCACCTTAATCATGTTTTGCTCAAACTATTAAAATTCTTATTCCCTGGGCATATATTAATTATTAGTGGGTCATCTATAAATGAAATAAATGACTGCCTGTTACTAGCCACTTGAAGATATAACAGATAAAGAGTTAGTTGACTATACGTGTGGATGGTATAGTGTAAATAATTGCCTAAGTAACTGCCTTTAAGTGTAAGATTTTGAAAAGTGAAAAAGATGAAATGTGTATCCCTGCTGTTATTGATATATGGTTTTGAAAATTCACAGAAGGGAGCCAAGTGCCTGCATCACCTAGCCAAATAATGGGAGTGTGTTCATTCTAACATCTTGGCATAACATATAGAGTGCATTCAGCAAGTGCTTTTTAGCTCTAATTTTAAATGAGTAGGTTCAGGAATACTGAAAAACAAAAACCCTAGTTTATAGTCGGTTGAATATGACTTAAGAGCCAAAATAACTATTGGAGAAGAGTAAGATTGCTTATAGTCTTAAAAAAAATTGGCCACGGGTTGGCTTGGCCCCAATATTGAACTAACCGTACGGTCTGCATTCGCTGGGCTGGATCCCTGACCTGCCCTGCCGTGTGGATGGCGCAGTCTAGGGAACGTGGGGGATGATTCAGGACAGATACTGTGTCTGCCTAAGTAAATCTGTATTTTCGTTTTGTTTTCTAGTACCATAACAGCTTGGGGGAAAGAACATGAAAAAGATGCTTTTGAACATATAGTAACACAGTTTTCATCAGTGCCTGTATCTGTGGTCAGCGATAGCTATGACATTTATAATGCGTGTGAGAAAATATGGGGTGAAGACCTAAGACATTTAATAGTATCAAGAAGTACAGAGGCACCACTAATAATCAGACCTGATTCTGGAAATCCTCTTGACACTGTATTAAAGGTAAATTTTAATACGTAACTTGATTATTAAAATGCCTGTAGACCGGCTGCATCAACACGACTTTTAATTTCATTTGTACACGCACCATTTCAGAACCATCGGGACCAGTCCCCTTAACTTTAGCGTTGCAGCCCAGAGAGAGTAATAGATTTGCCCAAGGTCACACATTAATACAGAGAAAGGCAACCCAGAGGTATGGCTTATTTGTATACTGTCAAATAGACAGTTAAGTACTGTTGAATAGATATTTTCTACTTTCCTTCAAAATTAATTAATAGCATTACCATTTTAGCCAGTCCTGTGAATTGGTTACCAAGTTTGTGGTTGGTTTCTTTTCCTTTATCACAAGTCATTGCTCTACCTTTGAAGTTTTTAAGTGCAAAGGAGATATGTGCAAGGTGATGTGGAATCAAAATGACTTGAAAGTCCCTTTCACGGAGTGATTCTTTAGAGAGACTGCTGCTCCTCGGTGTAGCAATGCTGCATTTTTTCGTGGTCAGGACTTGGTTTGCCTTCTTTGAAAAAGCACTAAGAGCAGGTTATTGAATGCTTACTGCTAGACAATAGTGTGTGAGGTGCTTTACTTAAGCCGTGTCATTTAATCTCTGCGGAAACCTTGTGACAGATAGTACTGTCTCTTTTGAAAGAGACAGGCTTTGAGAGGTTAAAGTCACTTGCTCAAGGTCACACAACATGTAAAATGTCAGGTGTCCAACATAGGTCTTTCTGCCGTCACCTTCCCACTTTGCCACTGCTTCCCAGCTAATGATTAGATGATAAATTACTAGCCCTTAGGAAAGGGGGTGTAGAATAGGAAGGCCTTTTCCTATCCTGTTAAGCAATAGCCAGTCTGAAGGTCTTATCTGAGCCTGAAATATTAACAGATTTGGCTTTAGCAAACTTAACAGGTTTCATGTTTTTCCTGTTACCTAAGCAAAATGTGCAGACCTAGTTTTAAGAATAAACTGATCATCAGCATGGAATGCTCGCATTGTTAGTCTCTTAATTTGTTTAGGAAAAGGGAGTGATTGTTGGGCGGGAAATATGTCTGGTGGGTCTTTTGTATCCCTGACCAGGCTCTCTGAGACATTTTCAATCAGTGTTTAGGTACTTCACCCGTTACAGAACTTTCCGCAGTTAATGAATGTGGGATGATTTGCATAGTATGCAATTTGGCTTTAAAAAATGGGTGTCCTCTTTAAGTGAAGAGAACTTCAGAGAGAAACTACAGGTTACATATGCTTTATTTCCAGCTTTATTATCTGCATAGCATAATTTCCCTGAACTTTGTAATACAAATGGGTTTATATTTGAGTTATATCAGACAAATTAAACCAAACAAAAATATTGGGCACAAGTAAAATAAATCCAAATCAAAAGTATGATCATGAGTTTGTTAAATGATGCTTTATATATTTTGTAAAAATATATTGCTGTTTTCAGTTCCTAATGTTAAAGGGTTTTTTTCTGAATCTGTATATTTTGAAAGATTCGAGGGAAAAAAACTTGTTTTGAGTCGCTTTACAGTATAAATTGACTTGATCGAAAATAGCATGCTTGTTTCTAACCTAATCAAAAGGAATTGAAACTAAATTTTAGAAGGCTTATACATAATGTGAAATTTTTTAAGTAATTTAATTTTTATTTTCTCAAGATTGTCTAGCAAAGTCTTTTTTTTTTAACTTTGGAAAGCTTTTATGCTTTTGTTTTTTTTGGTTTTAGTGATTTTGTGTTGGGTGTGTATTTTTCCCTACAGGTTTTGGATATTTTAGGTAAGAAGTTCCCCGTCACTGAGAACTCAAAGGGCTACAAGTTGCTGCCTCCTTATCTTAGAGTTATTCAAGGGGATGGAGTAGATATTAACACCTTACAAGAGGTATGTGTTTATATTAAAAGTTCCAATAAGGCAATCCTTATAATTAAGCTCTTCTTTATTAGTTTGATAAACAATGCATTAATAATTTAAGTACAATTGTGATTCTTTTCATAAATGTTTATAACGGTATATGTCTTTTATGTTAATTGCTTAAAATTTATAAATAATAGTAACTTAAAGCCAGACCACACTTCCTGCTCCCAGTCCTGACGGCCACCTGTGCTGAGGAGCCTGGAAGAGCGTACCTGTGAAACAAGAAAGTGCCAGTCAAGGAGTGTCCCTTGTCTATAAAACATAGTCTTGACACTGCTCAAATGGGTCTCAGTTTTAATAGAATGGGGCTTCACTCAAATAATGTGGAACTTGAATAATATTAATAAGTACTTTTTCAAAAAGTACAGAATGGCTTGTCATTTCTTCTAAATTAAACATTGACTGACACTACTATTGTTACATTTAACCAAATAGTGTATTATATTATCTTAAAATTTTTGCCTCTCTTGTTTCCCAAATAAACTTCTAAAGAGCTATAATTTCATTTTAACTAATATCTAAAATAGTCCATACAAATCAAGGGTAGCACTGATGGCCCGATGCGCGCTGCCTGCTGTTGTGAACCATGCCGCTCAGTGTGTGCCAGTCTCAGGTGGCCTCCACTCGTCCAGCACGAGTTACCCAAGGGTTTTCTGTTTGAGAGAGTTTGGTGTAGTTAGAATACAGTGAGTACCCAAAGTGTAAATAATTTGCTTTCCAAAGATTTGTTTAAAAATAAGAACTATTGCACATAATAAACAGTATTTCTGGGGTGCTGCTCATTTAGAGTTCCCAAAGGAGGTGTCCGGAATCGATCTCTTGCAATGACAGAAATGTGGTTTCTTCCGCCAACTCTCCCAAACTGCTTGCCTGGGAACAGTGGAAACTCCCCCAAACTCCTGAGCCGGCCACTGTTAGGACCTTAGGGCTTTCGCGGGCAGGGGGAGGAGGAGATGGAAGAGCCCTCTGCAGTGAGGAGGGGGACGCTGGGACGGCCTGAGTGGCAGTCTCGGCTGGCGTGGAATTGCTCTCTGGCGTGGAATTGCTCTCGTCCCCTTAGCTCCGCCCCGGTGAGGCTTCTTGCCCTGGTGTCAGGGAGGGGCTCTGACCCACACCTGCGCTGCAGGCAGGTTAGCTGGGGCCTCACGCCCCGGTCCCCTTGAGATGAAGGCGCCTGGCTTCTTTCGTTGCTTGCCCCGCCCTCCCTGTCCCGAGCTCAGCTCTTTAAGTTGGGCTGTTCAGTCAGGTGTTTGAACTTCCCTTTAAAAATCAAAGCTCTTTGACTTTCTTTTCTTTTCTGTTTTTTGTTTCTTTAAATAAACTTTGAGAGAATGTATGTGCCTTTTTAAAGTTGAGAATCAACTCAAAACTTAAACTTTTTTTTTAATTTATCCACAAGAAGTTAAATATTAAGACATACTCTGGCATTGGTGAAACAGGAAACAACACTCAGAGAATGAATGGTTTGAGTCAGTGCAAATGCCCTCGTGGAATGTCTGCCTTCCTCGTGGTGGGGGTGGTCAGAAGAAGCTTCTAGAAGCATGAAAAGGCGTTTACATAGCAGTTTTGTTTTGCACATATACTAAATATTTGATGCCTTAATTTTGACAGAATGAGAATCTGTTTTAATTTCAAACAGCTGATGTCTCTCGTTGGTTGTCTGCCTCCCTCTTGGACTTTGCTGTCCACAGTCAGTCTTCCCTGTAACGTCCCACAAAGTGTGCAGTCTAACCCTGCTTTAGGGTTTTGTGTTACAAAAATGAATTCGCTTATTTGGAAAAAGAGGCAAACATCTGTTTTGTCTTGGACAAAATACAGATGTGTGTCTGTCTTCTCTTTCTGTTTGTATCCCCGTTAGGGATTCAGTCATCTTGATCATCATTGAACCCCTCCGTTGGAGTGATTCATTGATGACATTAAAATGGTATCGAATTCTCAAAATTGGCAAGAAGATTTCTTTGCAAGTGTAGTCCCACATGGGACCCTTTTCATTACCTTTCTAGGAGACTTAACCCTGATCCTCACAGCATCGGTTCACAGACTTACGAGAAGAGATTGGTTTTATGCAAAGCTTAATGATCAGAATAAATTAATTTTTTGGTCTACATAGAATGTATTGTGAAGGCAGCTGTAGACTGTAGTGCATGATTTAAATTTATGGTCATGATAACAAAAACATTTCGTTTAAATACTGATGGCATAATGACTTCTCATTTCAGTCACATTACATACCTTGGGTGTGAGATAGGAAAATGAAGAGTGGTCGTGTCTAAGGGTGCTGTTTTGTCAACCTATGTCTAATCAGATTTTATGATTTGTATATGTAAATATTTTTAAATAGTAAATTTTTTTCTAATTCTGTAATTTCCCATAATGTTAACAGAAAAAATTCACTTGAACTCTGTAAATTTTATAACTTTTGGTGAGGCTGTATGGGAAGAATATCTTAAAGACACTGGACCCAAAATATGAAGACATCACATTAGGTGATACTGTTGTTTGTAATTTCCTTGTTCTCGTGCTCCTGAGGCGTATCTAAAATCAGGTGACGGTCTGAAAATATTTTCTCCATAGTTTACTCAAACCACCTTACCCTGTGTCAGGCTGTTTCCCTTTCTTTTCTTCCATTTTTCTGTTCTACTCTTTGCATTTCTTCCATATTGAAATTCATTCTTTTGGAACACGCCTTAATTTCATAAAGTTGTTGTTGTTTTAGTTATACTTTGTTCACAGTTATTTCAATGAAAAATAAATCTGAATTCAGGGCCCTTGGGTATTCTGGGTTCAGGTATAATAAAGACATGAGACTGGGTTTGTGTACAGCCTAAGGAATCACTTTGAAATAAATTGTATATGTTTCCATCTTGATTCCTCTGGTTAAAAAAAACAGAAAACAACAGGTACACATATAGCAGGAGAATTAGAAGGTTGGAATTTTAAAAGAAAGTTGAATTTCTAAATGTGGGTTTGTTAAAAGGTGAGTCCTTGGAGTTGATGTATTTTTATCTTGCAATATTGAGAATAAGGAATAGATAAAAAGTCAGTTTGAGACTCTCAGTATTTGAGGGGAATATGGTGAATTTGTATTAATATTTCACATAAAACTATTAAACTTGCTTATGATTTTCTAATCATTTCTGAAAGTCCTGTTTGGATAAAATAGAACTAGACTTTCCAGTTACTTCCTTTTGACTATTCTCATGAAATTAAAGGGATGGTTACTAGATTTCACTGCCACCTTCTATCATAAAAGTGATTGAATATGTCGAATAAGATGTCAGATACTGGATAAAGAAGTCCCACGTAGGAGAAATGCAAATGACATTGATAATAATGTAGCTTAATAAATTAATGTAACTTTTAAAATATGTGTCCCTTGAAAGAACTCTTTTAGTTGCCAGAACTGTATGTTCATACAGGTCTCTCTAGCTGGCTTAGTAGATGATCATTCTCCCAAAGATGATCCAGTGGTAAATCTTAACACCCATCTGTTCAGAATTTTGATTATGGCGCTGAAGCACCAGCCAGAGTAATTGACCCTGCGGTGTCTCAACTGTTACGTAGAAGAGAATATTTTATATTGTCTTTCCGCCAGTGTCCATTAATTTTTAAGTGCCCCAGTATGTGTGATGTGCACTCTGACGCAATAACGTGTGGAGGTTTCTTGGTGATGGTTAGAGTCATTCTCTCTAGTCAGGTGATTTGGGGCATGGTTCTCGGCCGCCTTGCTTGTGCTCCTGGGATCCGGGCGATAAAAGCTCCAGAGGCAGATGGGAGAAGCTGACTCGAGTAACCTCAGATATTTATCGCCAGTTGTTCTCACTCCCTCTCATTCCCTTCACTCCCCCAGCCCTAGCCACGGTGATGACAGCACCGCCACAAATTCAGGAACTTTGAGTGAAATGCCCTCCTCCCACACTTCTCTCTCAGGCTGCCCGTTTTGGGGTGTGTGGGTCTTTTAAAGGAGAAAACGTGGACTGTAACTTTGTGTAGGCCTTGTTCTTCCCGCATTATTTACTGTGTTATAAAACAGCTCTGGGTGGTTTAGTATTTATCACTATGGCCCAAGGAAAACTGCCTCCTTCTTCCAAAATACTTAGTTTCTGTTTATTTATTTGTTTTTTATTTTTTAATCTTCTAGATTGTAGAAGGCATGAAGCAAAAAAAATGGAGTATTGAAAATATTTCCTTCGGTTCTGGTGGAGCTTTGCTACAGAAATTAACAAGAGATCTCTTGAATTGTTCCTTCAAGTGTAGTTATGTTGTAACCAATGGTCTTGGGGTACGTCCTTCCACTTTCACTCGTGTGTTGGTACCTTCTTTATGTATCTAGGTAGAATGCAGTTGCTGAATGCAATAGTCAAAGGGTAATGTGGTCCTGAAGTATTAATAGTTGTCAGGTACCGCTGGCCTTGACTTAGAAACAAGGAAAGAAGAGAGACATTGGGTAATAAATAACATGACTTAGGAGAAAAAGGGAGACTTGGAAAAAGGAGAGAAAATAGATTACTTAAGAGAGAGAATGCAGGTCAGACATTTCCCACTGATTCAGTGTGTACCTTTGAATCAAAACCTTGACACAGCCATCATGTATTAAAGATAAACAAGTATGTAGACTTGTCAGAACAGTGCTTGAGGAAGGTGGAGTGTGAAGTCGGAGTTGTGATACCAGAATCACATTCTAGTAGCCTCGGAGCAGGGGAACCCAGCTTCAAGGCCGCCGACCAGCAGTCCCCCAGCTCGTTACAGCCTTTGAGTGTGTGTGGCTCAACGTCTGTGGGGGTGGGGACACGAAGCTTGTCAGAGCGCCTGCGTGGGTTCCCTGCGTGGGTTCCCTGCTTTGCCTCGCGCCGTCCTTCTGTGGCCAGTGCTGGGACTGACCCCTCTGTCGCTCCTTTCATAGCCGCCACTAGCCGCTTCTAGGACGTTTCGTCTCCTGCCTTTCTGACCCTGAAACAGACGTTCTGCTCTCTTCAGGTGCTCCAGGTCTTTTTCGCTCCTGACAGTAACAAGATGATGAGTAAAAAGTAGCAACAGGAAAAGGCTATGAAGTAGGAAAGGCTTTACCGTAGTCAGATCCTGGTTTCCTTGCCACAGAGTATATGATAGAGTCAGCGTGGCTTTTTCCCCAATAGTATGCCTGTGCTATCCTTGATCAGTTTAGGGACAATTCGTAGTGTAGAAGGAGACACCCCAAGGGTCACGTTTTAACCTCAGAGACTTACCACAGTGCAGTATTTGACATTCTGCACTGATAAGAAAGGATAGGCAAGATTTGGATTTTGTTCAAACCTTTTTTTGTAAGAGGACTCTGTCCTCCAAAATAGACTAGAGTGATGTTTCTAAAAGCTCCATGTGGTTGGTTTAGTTATACCTATAAAGTGCCTTAAAATGTCTAAATTGTGTATATACTTTCTTTTCTAAATGGGAGTGAACATTCTGGTGATGATTCTTCTAACTTTCTTTATTTGGATTCCAGATTAATGTCTTTAAGGACCCAGTTGCTGATCCCAACAAAAGGTCCAAAAAAGGCCGATTATCTTTACATAGGACACCAGCAGGGAATTTTGTTACACTTGAGGAAGGAAAAGGAGACCTTGAGGAATATGGGCATGTATGTATCTATGCTGATTGGTTTTGTCGTTGGTTTTTTTTTAATGTAGTATGTTGGCTCTCCAAATTAAGAAAGGAACCTTTTGTGTTGTATTTTATTTTAAAATTATTTTCAGAACAATGTTTTTCTTGGAGGATAAAGTAGTTTTACTGTAAAATGTACAGTTCCTAACCTAGCCTACCAAAATAAGATGAAGAGTAAGAAGTGGGTGGATCAGAAATATGAGACCTGTATGCACATTGCGTGAAATAATCTTATAACATTCAAAAAAAGGTACAGGTTTGTCCACGTGGACCAGCAGGGGAGTGCCTGATGAGGTTTGATCTTCCTCTCACTGCCAAATAGTAGTGAACCGTTTCTGAAGAGGCATAGTTAAAATCCTTAAAGGATGCTGTTCTTAGACTTCCCATTGCTATTTGTGTTACAGGACAGCTTTGGTAATTTTAATAGATAAGAGAAGGGCTATCCGAATTCTAAAATGTTATTAAAGATAATTCCATTTTTTAAAAACTTAATAGAATTCAGTTCAGATGGTTTTCTTGAGTCTTGTTTGAGTCTCACAACTCTTTGGGCTATTGAAAAAAGCAAATTGTGTTCTCTTAGTGGTGTAAGATATGGAAATGACGTGACTTGATTCAGATTATAAAGCTAATAAATGGCGACACCTAGACTTAACCAAGTTTTCTGATTCAAGTCAACCAAACTGGAGAACTTCACAGCACAGTCCCGCACGGTTTACCAGCAGGGACGCGTTCCGAGACACAGCGTGAGGCAGTTTGATCATTTTGCGAACCTCATAGAGTGTACTTGCACGAGCTTCGATGCTGTAGCCTGCTACACGCCTAGGCCACGTGGTACTCATCTTGTGCGGCCGCTGTCGTGTATGCGGTTTGTCACTGACCAAAACGCGGTGTGGTGCGTGACCGTCCGCTCAAGTGGCCCGTGCGAGCTAACGGGCTTTAACGTGCGAAAGCACATTTATATTCGTGAACAGAAAAGTTATAACATTTCTGCTTTTTAAGCCACTGGATTGAAAAAAACCACATATTTTTAGAGGGAAGTTACTTGTGAATACTCATACCCTCAGAGGATAGTTTAAACATAAACATGCTAGTTTATTAGATTCTTTATACCGTATCAAATGTTGTAATTTGCTTTTATTGTCTTAAGATTCTAAGCCAGAATTAATGAAATAACGTTTTTCTCTTTAACAAAAATATGTAAGTTTCTAAACAGAGTGTTAGATCCCTTTACATAGCCTGTTGTGCAGTTCTTGGATCTTCTAGCTACCAAGTCTTGGCTGAGTTAGTTTATCCCAGGTAGACTAACGTCACTTTAGACATGGTCGGAACTGTGACTTTAAAAAGGCATCAATTCTAAGAGTTCGTGAACGTAAGAAGAGGAACCACCATTCCTTGACAGATTATATTTAACTTGATGAAAGAAAATGCTATAGCTGGAGCAGTGTGATTTGAAACTACACAGTGACAAAAAAAAGTAATGTCATATGCACCTCAATCTTCAGACTAGATGGAAAACTTAGGCTCAGTGGATCACTGATGTGCATTTGTTGAAGAGAAACAAACCAGAGGCCGAGAATTCCTTAGTGAGACAGGAGTGGCTTTAGCAGATCGGAAAGGGAATTCAGTCCTAATTCTCTTCATTTATCTTTGTTCTCCTTCCGTGGATCAAACGGATTGCGCATGTCGATGACTTTTGGAATATACAGAGTCTTGAAATCAATAATTATTTTTGTTTCTGTTTTGGGTTTTTTTTTTTGTTTTTTAGGCGCTTTGTTTAGTTGTTTAAACCCAAAACTCAGTGACTAGCAAATTCGTTGAATTCCAGGTTGATAAGTTACTCGGTGTCGAGTGTGTGGCAGGCTCCTTCTGAGCTGTCGGTCCTGCCGACAGCGACAGCCACAGTTCTGCCAGGCTGCCAGCGTCTTCCACCTGAAAAAAAGAGATGGGTCAACTGGGTGTTTTTGTTTTTCCTTTAAGGAAGAATGTCATATTTAAATCGTTCCTGTTCATAAAAGTTAAATATTTCTACACAGCCATTTTAGATAGTGCCTTGCTCTCTGCCTGCTCCAGCCGCCATTCTCTGTGTATAAAATCATAATTTGAACCCATCAACATGTCTGTTTGACTAGTCAGTCTAATTCATCAAAGCATTATTTAAGTATTTTGCTTACTAGTCTAATATAATCATTAAATTTTAGTATTATTGTATTTGTGCAGGATCTTCTCCATACTGTCTTCAAGAATGGGAAGGTGACAAAAAGCTATTCATTTGATGAAGTGAGAAAAAATGCAAAGCTGAATATCGAACTGGAAGCAGCACCCCATTAGGCTTTGTTTTATGACTGGGTGCGTGTGTGTGTCTGCGTGCGTGTGTGTGTTACATGCATACACGCACGTATACACCTGTGTGTGAGTATGTAATGCATAATGTTTATTGTACAGATGTGTGGCGGTTTGTGTTTTATGATACATTACAGCCAAATTATTTGTTGGTTTATGGACATACTGCCCTTTCACTTTTTTCTTTTTTTCCAGTGTTTAGGTGATCTCAAATTAGGAAATGCACTTAACCGTCTAAAGGATTAATGCTAAAGGAAGCTTTTTAGGGCCCTTTGCCAATAGATAGTAATTCAATCTGGTATTGATCTTTTCACAAATAACAGAACCGAGAAACTTTTATATATAACTGAAGATCACATAAAACAGATTTGCATAAAATTATCATGATTGCTTTATGTTTATATTTAACTTGTATTTTTGTACAAACAAGATTGTGTAAGATATATTTAAAGTTTCAGTGATTTAACAGTCTTTCCAACTTTTCATGATTTTTATGAGCACAGACTTTCAAGAAAATACTTGAAAATAAATTACATTGCCTTTTGTCCATTAATCAGCAAATAAAACATGGCCTTAACAAAGTTGTTTGTGTTATTGTACAATCTGAAAATTATGTCAGACATACCTTATACAATTACTAACCTCACTGCCCCTTGTAGAATATGTATTAAAGAAAATCATGGTTCTCACTGGAATGTCCAGGCACTGTACAGTGCTTATACACGTGCGTCATTGCATTGTGCCCGTGAAATGCCAAATTGGAAAGGCTTGTACTGCAGTTTTATATGTCAGATATTGCCTGTGGCTCTAAGCTGCACCTCAAGATTTTAAGGAGATAATGTTTTTAGAGAGAATTTCTGCTTCCACTGTAGAATATATACATAAATGTAAAATATTGACAAAAGTGGAAGCAGTGTATTTTAAAGTAATCACACCTCTGAATTTATTTTTCATATTCTATAGTTATATGACTTAAATGAATTACTGGAATAGGTAGTGTACTTATTTTAAATGTTTTGATTCTGTTATATTTTTCATTAAGTTTTTAAAAAATTAAATTGGATATTAAATCGTATGGACATCATTTATTAATTTTGAACTGAATCCCTCAATAAATAACACCCAAGCAAGTTCTTAAACGAAGAATCGATTATCCCCAGTGGGAAAGCATAATGACTTGAAGTTGAATAGAAGAATCTTAACCAAACACAGAAAGCTGGCGAGCTCCAAAGGGTTTTAACGTTCAGATGTCCAGAGCGATGGGCTGCCGGAGTCGAGGCAGTCAGCGCACTTGACTGGATCAGTTTGGTTTTTTTTAAGATGATTCTTTTATATTTAGGTCAGTTCTCCTAAGCAGGGGTTGGTCAGCTATGGCCCACAGGCCAAATTCAGACTCTTTTTTTTTTTTTTTGTAAATACATATTTTCTGTGGCCGCTTTTTCATGACAACAGCAGAAATTGAGTAATTGTGGTAGTGACCCTGTGGTCCACAGAGCCTGAAATGTTTATTCTGTGGTCCCTTTACAGAACAAGTTTGTCGACCTCTGTTCTAAGAAAAGGAGCGTGCCTTGAATTTTAAGAGAAATGTTGATTTCCAGGGAAGGGAGGAGGCTAAGTTGATGCGGAATTTGTCTCTTTCGTCCTTTCTTTTCTCATTTAAGAATCTGATACTGGAAGACTGATTTAGAAAAGCTTTAACAACATGATAGTAAATGTGAAATTTTAAAAAGTGAAAAGCCATAATTTATCTGTCCTAAACAGTTACATGAAAAAGTACTTTATCAGTAGAATAATTAATTAGAGGTGAGTTATCGTTAACATCTTTTATAAGCATCATTAAAAATAATAGGTTTTTGCAAATCATTCTAAACACTTGTTTAATGAGAACAGTAAGCAATATTCACTTTTATTAAGAGTTTTGGTCATGTAATCCCTGGTGAAAAATAATTTTAAGATGATTTTTTTTTTTAAATGTGTCTAAGCATAGATTAGTGGCATTAAGAACACACCTTCACCAAATGTGCTTACAGGGCTTATAGAGAATTAAAACTATATTTATTACCAGTGACAACTTTGATAACCAGCTATAATTTTGATTTTGTTTAAACATTGGAATTATACTACAGACAATATTCTTTCTGTACTGTGAATTTCAGCAGTTTCAGAATATCTGGTGTTTTATTTTAAAACTTTCAGTGAATGCTAAAATTTGTATATGGCTGTAGATTGAGGAGGTGGAGTGATGAATTCTCTTAGCTCTTAGTCACTTGGAGCTGATTAGTCCTGAGTTTCCATCGCTAAGCACCTAGTATCTGGCCATCCCATTCTCATAGGGAATGGTTAACATAGGTATCAAGTAGAACTCTGCCGTGTGTCACCTTAAGTCAGCCTAACTCCTCCAGACAAAAGCAAATGGCATGTATGGGTTTGCTTAAGTCATTAGATCTGCAGTTGATATCAGATTAATCTCCCTCGATTCCTAATTATCATGAAGTATTTGTATTTTAAATAGGAGATAGGAGTTCTGTGTTGACTCTTTATTTGTACTCTACACTTAAAGTAAAATGGTTTTAAGGATTATCCCTTATTTCCTTTCTTGAAATAAATTGTTATGGAAAACATTTTATAGTGAAATCCATCTCAGAAAACTAGAAAGAGAAAAATAGCAAGGTATTTATTGTTATGTTTGCCATAATTAGAATTCACTTAAACACTTAAGCAAGTATTTTATAGCTTTACATTCCTTTTTAACCCATTCAGTGGAGAATATCAGCTTTTCTCCCAAGTTGTATGTTAAATCAATTCTACCATGTATTCAACTTCAAAGATGAACATGTAATAAACATGGAAATAAAGTTTAGCTCTATTAGTGAAATGTTAAATTTGACTGTGTGCTTCAAATAATGGCATTTCCAGACTTACCTGTTTTAGGTCCTCCAGTCAAAGAATGAGAGGAGGAGAGGCGCGAAGGGTGCCTTCTGTTCTCTGCCTCGTGCAGCTCGGGATGGTGCTGCCTCCTAGTAGAACACCGGAGGGAGCCCAGATTTGGGGGGAGAGAGCATAGGTCCCTCCATTAAGATTTGAGATGCCTTTGAGACATCGGAATGTGGATTGTAGGTAGTTGGATATACAGCTTTGGGGACAGAAGGCGCAGAATATGGCCTGGCAAACACAGGCCGGGGCCAAATCCACCTGCCGTCTGTTTTTATAAATAAAGTCTTATTGGAACACAGCCACACCCGTTAGTTCACTTACTGTCTAGGCTGCTTTCATGCTACAGTGGCAGACTTGAGTAGTGGCAACGGAGACCTTATGGCCTGCAAAGCCTAAAATAATTTACTATCTGGCCCTTTAAAGAAAAAAAGTGCTGATCTGTGCTATAGACTATGAAAAAAAGAGGACTTAGGGGAAATCCATAGGAATTCTCAAAAGGTGAGTGGCAGAAGAGGAGCAGGCAGAGGAGGCCGACAGCGGTAGTAAAGAGATGAAACCCAGGAAGAGCAAAGTCAGGAAAGCCAGAGGGAGGGTTTGCTCTGCACAACTGTTAACTGCTGCCGAGAGAGAGGGAGCAGAGTGAGGACTTGGAAGCATCTGTTGGATTTAACCTCCTGAGATAATTGATGGCTTAGAGACTTTCCCTTCCAGGTAGTAGAGGAGGCAGACGTCAGAAAAAAGCTCCCTTACACAACTCTGAATTGGATGTGAAAGGAGGAGAGAATGAGGCAATAGTGTCTCTGAAAAGGACCCGGGAAAGAGGGAGAAGTTGAAGATAAGAGAGGCAAAAAGGATCAGCGATGGCGGGGAGGTCCAAAGAATGGAGGAGGATGGGGTCCAAACCACTGGTGGGCACGTTGGCTTTTAGATGGGAGGGGCTGCTTCGAGTCTAGCAGAAAGGACAAGAGGGTAGGTGCCTGTGCAGACTGGTTTTCTCTGAAGTCAGAGACCAGAGGGGATTGGAGTTTTGCAAAAGAGGGTTTTAAAATAATTATGGTGGAGAATAAAGTGGCCAGAGGTGTCGTAGGACTATAGGAGGACCCAACTATTAGATGGCCAGGAACTCACAGTGAAAATTGGCCTTGTGATTTTTTCGTTCCCCTCCCTAGAAGCACCTGATGCCTGGGTACAGATGCAGAGAAAATGGAGATACTTGGGGGTTTGCCAGGTAAGTTTGATAGAACAAAAGGATGATAACTGGGTAATGGTTGAAATAATGGTCCTGCGGTATCTAAACTGGATGAGTATGGACGCGAGTGCTACACAAAGCATTGCGAAGATAGTAAGAGAGCCCAGTGCACAGTCCAGTGACAGCTCTGGTCTGTTGGGAGTTGTTGAACAAGCAGGTTTGGAAGGACAAGAAATGCTCGTCGGAGACCAGGATCTCAGAAGCAAGTTCACAGTGTAGGACGATCCAAGGTGTGACCTTGAAGTGGCCAAATGAAGTAAAGAAGATCAGTGAAGACAAAACACCATCGAGAAACTTGAGAGGACGAGTGGCCGTTCATGTCGTCCAGGAAGGTGGCAGAAGTTGTATTGGAGAGGAAAGCTAAATCAGGTGCCAAAGTAGTCAGTGAATGAGGGAGGGGACCAGGAGGCAGCAGGAGCGCAGCGAGGAGGTGGGTGGGCCTCAAAGGGAGCACAGTGGAAGCCACCGGCCTTGGCAAGTCTGCGCGGGAGGAACTCAGCATGTGTGGACATGCACCAACAGATTATGCTCTGTGTTGCCAAGGGTTTGATGGCCTTGCCCAGGTGCTCGAGAAAGATTTGTTGACTTAGTGAATGGATGAGGGGAAGGAATAATCTAGGTCAAAACTTCCTTGGTTTTACTAGCTTGCTACAAACACCCCTTTCGTGTACAGAGGCCCGGGTTCAAGCCTTTAAATACATTTTTGAGTTTTTGTTTTGTTTGAACATTTTAAGACTTAGATTTTGTCTCTTTTTTAAAGAGACCAGCCAAAGCACTCTACAGCCAATTAAAATCAGTCATTCTTCATGTGTTCAGGCTCTTCTCACCTCATTTTAAACTATCACTTTATTTTATTCAAAAGTTTCTCTAATTGTTATCTGTTCCCCAGAGACAACTCTATCTTCATTTTGTTCACAATTCTTCATTCCATTAAATCTAATTTATTAAAATATTTATTTAGGTTATTCCAGCAAAGAAAAATACATTCTTGAAAGGAATTTTAAAAGCATTAGAATTATCAACTTCACCAAAATTGTTTGAACTAACATGGAAATGGGTCCTTGCTAATTAGGAGTTGTGCCTGCATGCTGTCCCGTGGGCACATGGTATGCAGGACCTGTCGTGCCCTGATGGGGACGTTCACGAGGGACCTGTGCTTTCACCCCTTCTCAGGGCTCGTGCTGCCCTCCTGGTGAGTAGTGTAAGCTGACAGTTGACTTTTCTACCAGTTATAGCATAAACTCTGCAGAAAAATACAATTTTGGTTTATGTTGATTTATGTTCATCCCAGAGAAAAGAAGCATCATTCTTTGGCAACAAAATTCAGTTAAAAATAACAGTTATCTTGGGACCAGCCGCAATGGGGCCTAGTGGTTAGTGTGCTCTGCTTCGGTGGCCTGGATTCAGTTCCCAGGCATCGACCTACACCACTCTGTTAGCAGTCGTGCTGTGCTAGTGGCCCACATGCTAAAAAATAGAGCAAGATTAGCACAGTTATCGTGACCTGCTTTATTGTTTTTTTACTTAATTCTGTAATTAGCTACTGAGGTGTTACTTCTTTGACTTAAAATAGGTAAGACATTCTGTAGTTTTTATTCAGATGGATTTAGCTTTTCTTCATGCGAGCTCTCCTGATGAATTGGCTACAAGTTTTATGAGAAGAGTTCTACCAGATTTATGAGGCTGGGAAAAGCAACTCTTATCTTCAGCCTCTCCCTTTCTCTTCCTCCTCAGCCAGTAAACAAACATGTTCCTGTGTCTGCCGTCCTTTAAAAAGAAAGTAACTCCTTTGATAACTCCAGCTCTAGCCTTGCTCCTCCAGTTCGTATCCAGACTTCTCAAGCTGTGTACGTTTCCTCTCCATTTACTGCTTAGTTTCCTGTTCGTCTCCCGGCTGGTTCTCATCCCTCATTAAACATCAGTGACCTCTCAGTTTCCAAATGACTGTTTAGTCGTCATTTCACTGGAGGATCTCTCCTGTCCTTGCCAGTGCTGAGAATTCATTCCTTGACACTGCTTCTTTGGCTTCTATATTGAAACATCTTGGGTCCCTTCTCTCTGGAGCTCTTCTTGACACCATTAGATTTGAAATGTGGGCATGTCCCATTTATCTACATCTCTCTTGGGTGGTCTCACCATCATCTGTCGACTAAAGCTTCTGTGCATGTATGTCTCTAGCGCAAACCTCTGAATTGTACTACCTGTCTACGATGCATTTCCACCGGATCCTACTCAAATGTGACAAGTCCAAACTTACCATATTCCTCCTGATTCTCTACCTCATTTGGGGGTTCAACCCTCCCACCCAAGTGAGCCTTCCGTCTGTGTTACCCCACACATGTAATCAATCACACAGTCCTGTTATTTACCCGCTAAATAATGTTATAATCTGTCTTCTCTCCAACTCCCATTTCAGGCTCACCAATGTCTTCCTAAAACAATACAAAAAATATTGAACTAGATTTTCTGCCCTCAGCCCCCTCTCCCTCCCGCTCTGCTACCAGAGTATTCTAACAAAATCTAATAGTTCAGTCCCCAAGCTCCCTTTAGCCTAGAGGATAATGCTCAGAGTCCAGCCTAACCCACAAAACCCTCCTTGACGTGGCCCAGGCTACAGATAGCCTCAGGGCTTGCCCTTCATTTTCTGCACCAGCATCTTGACTTGCTCCGCCTTACACACACACTCACACTCACGCTCACACACACGCATACACACCTTACACCGTTTGCTCCATTTCTCTGCCTTTGCCCGTGCTGACTCCAGCCAGGAACACCTTCCTTTGGCTAATGCTGGCTAATGCGCTGTAGGGGATTAAGTGATAATGCCTCCAGAAGGCATTCACAGACCCTCCTTGCCACACCCAGCCCACCGTCAGGCCTCTGTAGGTGTTGAGTGTGTTTCTAAAACAGCGCTCACCATCCGGGGGCCTGTGTCCTATACGCAACAGTACAGCGTGGTGTTTATTCATCTCCATCTGCGTTCAGACGTGGTAGACATTCAGATGTTTGTTGAGTCAGTGTCATTATGATAAACACTTTTTTACAGTGTTTTGGGACCCTCTGTGATACTAATATCCTGAACATTTAAGTAAGTGTTTAAAAAAAAGTGGACCATTTTACTAAGTTTTTTTTAATCCTCTTTATACCTTAGTTTTCCATCTTAAAAAAGTTACCCATCTTTAAAAAAAACACACAGGAAAATGTTCCACCTTTTAAAAAAAAGATGGAAATTTTTCAAAGCATGTTCACAGATTACTGTCTTTTTGAAAAATTCTTACAGTAAATTCATGAAGTAAGGTGTTTCGTCAAAATATAGATTAGAAAACGAAAGTATAAAAAGGATAAGTTATTTGCCTAAGATTTGCTTGTATGTAGTTCAGTAGTTCATGAATTTCCTTGGTTCTGAGAATTTGCTAAAAGCTGTGGACCGTCTTCTCAGGAAAGTTCTCGTTTGCCAATAAAACAGTGTGCGTGTAACTTAGGGAGGTTGCCCCGCAGACTCGAACGCCGAACGCCGGGGAACTGCAGGGCGGAGACCGCTCAGGGCGCTCCGCACGTGCCCTTCCCGCTCCGTCGGGACTCCTCGTGGTGTCTTGGAAAAGGGGAAACTTCATCACCTTAAGTTGTTTGTGGAACAAGGCAAAGTAAATATAATTTTAATTCAACTCTCAAGGCGTTCTACAGACTTCACTGCTGGAAATTCCAGAATTGGTAGCTATTTTAAATGCCTTTTCTACAGATGGAGAAACAGAAGCTTAGGAAGTAAAATTAAGAAACCTGACCATGTGATACGGGAAGATGAAAAAGAAAATCCAGGAATCTTCTGTGCAAACCAGCAACACCAAACTTGACAAAAGCCCTCTCTGTATTCTTTTTACAGAAATCTAAGCAGGCTAGGTAATTCTGACCACCCTCCCACTGAAAACAACAAAACTTAATGGGTAACTGGTTGGTTGGTTGGTTTTAAACTATTGAACTAACAGGACAGGAAGAAATTGCTGGGTCAAAATCCGAGTGAAAATGGGCCCCTGGAAAGAGAACAAGGCGCTGAAGCTGCTTTTGTCCTGGGGCATTTACCAAACCTGAGGACCACGGGCTTCAGTCTTTAGGGCCTGACAGGACGTGGTGAACAGAAATCAAAGACCCTTCTGCTATAAAGTGGGTCCCCCAGAGTTGTCCTTCAGGAGGAGGATGCGCCAGGAGTAACCCAGCCCCACACCACCAGGGCACTGCAAGAAAAGTTGCTTTAGCGCTAGGCAGACCAAGGTAGAAAAACTCTCTAAGAAGGTGGCATTGCAAGCCAGCCCTTGCACCTGCTTGCAGTGCCAATTCACACCCATGTTACAAAAACCTCCAGCTGTACGTTCAGATCAACCGGGACTGGCAGAGCTCCCTAATGCTGACAGCGCACGTCCTTTCTGAAAGGATACCCTTTGTCCTGAGCCTTGGAATTCCCCAGACTTTCCTAAGGAGTATAAACAACTCGCAACGTCACTTACCACACAAGGAAACAAGACACCAGGAATGAGCGGCAGAGAAGGGATCCATAAAAGGTTCAGGTACTGAACTTATGAGACATTATAAAGTAACTATGCTTAATGTGTTTTTTAAAGATAAAACGGCTTGCAGATATCTGCAGGGAGTCAAATTTTTTAAATGACCTAACATTTGAAAAAGGCATTAATAGAATTTCTGGAAATAAAGAGTATGGAAACTGCGATTAACAATCAGCATGGAAGGAACCAAAGGGAGGATAGGTCAGGAGGAGTTATTCAGAATGTGGCACAAAACAGACAAAATCAAAAGGAGTTAAGCAACACAGGAGAGTGGAAGGGCCTAATGTAGGTCTAACCAGAGCTATAGAAGAAGAGGAAAGAGAAAAAAGGGGTAGAGGCTATATTTCAAGAGATAGGGCTCAGGACTTACCTGAACTGATAAGCGACAATCAAAAGATTAAAGAAGCTCAAAGATCTCAATCAAGATAAATTTTAAAAATCCCCCTCAGACACATTATAGTGAAACTACGAATCAACAATAGCGAAGTGTTAAAAGCAGCCAGAGAAAAATGGGTTGCATTCCAAGGAAAGAGATTAACAGCCGAGCTCGACAGTGGAAGCCAGAAGACAGTGCAACATCCTAAAAGGACAATGTCCTCAAAGGAAATCACTGCCAACATCCCACTAAAAATATTTTTCAAGAATGAGGATAAATTAAAGACGTTTTCAGATCACCAAACACTGAAAGTTTGCCACTAGCATCCCTTCACCAAAGGAAAGCCTACGAGATGAAGGAATGAAGAGCAATCAAGTGGTGAGTGTGTGTGGGCAAACTGAGCGAACTGACTGTGTGAAACGACGATGATGATGGCTTCTGGATTTAAACTGGCAGTATTTAAAATCTACAAGTAGAGCGTAAGTCAAGAGCAAGGTAAATGGAATTGCAAGTGTTCCAAGGCACCTGAATTGTCAGGAGCTTAAACCTATTGAGCCATTTTAGACTTTGGTAAGTGTGTATGTTGAACTCAGAGGAATAGGAACAAGGTGTGTTACTTTCGACCTAATGGGAAAAGGTTAAAATTTTTCCAAAGAAGGCCAAAAATGGGAGAAAATGAAACAAGAGGACAAATAGCTAAAAAAAAAAATAAGATGAACGATACCTACGCTACATACATAACATATATATGAATGTCACATACATATCTCCTATGTACGCACACAAAATCAATTAAAAGAATGTTTTTTAATCCAACTATTTGCTACTTACATGAGACCTGTCTAATATATAAGATGCCAATAGGTTGAAAATATTTTTAAAATTAACAATTTACTGAAAATAATTGCTGCTATTTTCCGTTAAATCAGATGACTCTGCCCGGGGTTTCTGACCCAAGCTGGCTGAAACAACACGTTGCGTCACTGGGCTCCAGACGGGTGCCAGCACAGTGTGGCGCTCGCCAGGAACACAGCATTCCAGCCCTGTGCTCATAGCCTTGTTGACCAAGCCTTTGGGGTCATATGTGCCTCTCTGTCTCCCCTCAGATTAGGGTGCTGCCCAGGAAGCCACACTTAGGAATGGCAGAAGACACTTCCGTGCGGGAAAAGAGGCATTCCGAGAAACAGAGCCTGCTGTTCATTCTTGTTCTCAACCCTCTAGCTTCCGATGTGCATGTTTTCCCGTCCGTTCTCTGTATCTTTGGCGGGGTTTCGGTGCCTTACCCTCTGTCTCAGCAGGTGGAGAAGGAGAGGATAGGATGAGAATTACCCATGGGCCTCTGCTGAACCACTTGCCATGATTCCCGAACACCTGGCACTTGCCAGGCTGTGACAGCGGAAAGGACCTGTGTAGTCTGGGTAAACTGCCAGAGAATCCTTGAACCCCATCACCTCAGGCTGAGAGTCCTGCTCTGTATAAACCACTGCCCAAATATTGATGCAAGACTGTGTCCAAGTGCTTTATAAACCACATCGCCTCCACTCTTGCCCTCGTCAGCAGTGTGCTCCCTTCTGCTTGGAGAACAACGCACAGCGAGAGATGGCCAAGAAGGGTTCTGTGAGGTCCGTACAACGTGTCCTCACCCCAGCCTGCCCGAGGAAGGAAAGGTCACTGTGTTTTTCCTACAAGGAGCGAAGAGGAGAATGACTCAGCTCTGGGAAAAGGACACATTTCATATCATTTCCAGGCTCTGCAAATCTATTACCATGTCAAAAGGTCCTTTCCTTTCCTCTTCACATATGATAACCTGGAAAAATAAACCTCTAAGGAGGCTCCTAGCAACAATTCTCTGTACAGAAGGCTTCTAGGTGAATGCTTTCCTGCGGTATCTCTATTCTCTACAAGGGGCAAGCACTACTGTTATTATCAGGAAATGACAGCAAGCATTTTGGGTAAATGGAGATACAAGTGCTGCCTCCTAAGTCAAAACAGTGGGGGGCCCAGGACTCCTCCAGAAAGGAGTTTCCAACTGCTGGCGGTGAGTGTGGAGAGCTTTCTGCTGTTGAGGGCCACTGGCCCACTGGAAACTCAGGACCATGTAACTAAAGGCTACTTAATTTAGCATTGTGTGTGAGTATGTGTATACGTATGTATGTATACACATGTACACGTGTGTATATATACACAGTATATACACACGATATATACACACAATATATACACATATACACACATAATATATACACACATGTATATACACACTATATATACACACGTGTATACACATATATACACAAATATACACACTATATATATACACATATATACACACTATATATAGACAATATATAACATATATATACATATATACACAAATATACACACTATATATATATACACACATATAAATAAAGAGAGAGAAATACCTCATTCTTCCCTCAGCTAGTTTTGAAACTAGGAATAGAGAAAAAAATAATCAAAATATGTGCCACAAATAATTAAAAAGCTATTTCAATCCCATATTGTGCCCAGGGATATTTTAAATCTTGATGGGCAAAAAATATAACTCATTGGATAAAACGATTTCTTTGGCAGGTCCTTATGCTTCCACCCCTAGTGATCGTGCACGGTGAGGGCAGGAACAATGCCCGACCTTTTCAGCTGCACGTTCCTAAGGCCGAAGCCAGGGCCAGGCCGTGGTGGACTCCAACAGCTACACGTTGGGGGAATGAAGCCTGGTCATCCTACACCTCTCACTTCTGCCTCGCGCCACCCCCCACTGTCACGCCACAGCTCTTTCTCCACCTATCTTTCCTGCTCCATAACCCCCAGGACCTCGTGACCTGGAACCAAATGCTGGTGACTTTTAAGGCAAAACGATCAGTGGGACCTGGTCAACCATTGAAGTAGCCCTCATTCCTCTGCAGCTTGGGGGGAATTCCAGGCTCGCACGGCCATCTGCTTCACCCAGAAAAGGTCAAATCAGGTCATTCCCCAACAGACCCCCAAAACTACTACAAGTGGCATGAAGCTCTCCTCATGAGTTCACTGTTCAGAGGCCTCAACTCCCAGGGCAGTCAGACCCCTCAACAAAACCTCTGATCCTCCAGACCATGATTTTTCCTTGTTACTTTTTGACCACAACTTTCAGTAAGAAACATTTCACATTGCAACCCTGTCAGACACATGTATGTACGTTACTGAAACCCTTCCTTTGCACAGTGTACTCTGATATGGCCGCATCCATTCTGCTTAGTTCTGTTCTACTCTATTCTTTTTTTTTTTTTGCTGAGGAAGATTTGCCCTGAGCTAACATCTGCTGCCAATCTTCCTCTTTTTTTGCTTGAGGAAGATCAGCCCTGAGCTAACATCTGTGCCAGTCTTCCTCTACCTTGTATGTGGGATGCCTCCACAGCATGGCTGAAGTCCACACCCAGGATCTGAACCCACAAACCCAGGCCGCTGAAGTGGAGCACACAGAAGTTCAGCCATTTGGCCACAGGCCAGCCCCTACTCCACTCTTTTTTTTCATGCTGCTTCTAACCCACAATATTGATTTCTTTTTTTGAGGAAGGTTATCCCTGAGCTAACCTCTGCTGCCAATCCTCCTCTTTTTGCTGAGGAAGACTGGCCCTGAGCTAACATCCATGCCCATCTTCCTCTACTTTTTATATGTGGGATGCCTGCCACAGCATGGCTTGACAAGCAGTGTGTAGGTCTGCACCCAGGATCCAAACCGTGAAACCCCATGCTGCCAAAGTGGAACGTGCCAACTTAACTGCTGTGCCACCAGGCCAGCCCCACAAAATTGATTTTTTGAGCCACTAACGGTCATGACCTGCAGTTGAAACACACTGACCTAAACTGACCCCTGTACAGCATCACCGCCCCGGTCTTGTATTCACAAGATCATAGGTCTCCAGGAAGCCCTGGGTCAAGCAGGCTCCTAAGCCAAATTTAGGGGCTCCGACTATAACCAGACGAGCTTCAGGAATGTGGTGATGAGCTGGCTTGCTCACTGTGCCGTTTCCTATGTAAAGAAAGATAGAACAGAAGGGAAAGAAATTAGCAATTTTACTTGCCAACTGTGTGCTAGGCATGCTAGGTACTTTGCATGAATGGCTTTCCTTCACCCCTTCAACAACTCTCTATGGTAGGCACCATCCCCACTTTAGAGGTGAGCAAACTGTTCGGCACAGATGGAAAGTAACATGCCTAAGGCCACACAGCTAGAAAGGAACAAAGAGATGGCCAGCCTGTGTGAGCCCACAGGCCACCATGCTCATCTTCCTGACTATACTGCATCAGCCACAGGAAGGGTGCTTCCCTCTGACCCTTCTCCCTTGTGTCTGTCCACATGCGGCATCTTACTCCACATCTGGCCTTATATCACCTCCTCCAGGAAGGCCCGTCCAAGAAGCCACTGTTTATCAGCCTCTAGATATACGACTGGTACTTTATTTTTCCACGAGGTTCTGCAGCGTTTGGTCATTGTGTGTGCAGTATGTGCACAGTCAAGTGTGTACGAGTGTGTGCAAATGTGTGTCTATTGCTCTTCTGCTGCCGAGATCACACATGGGCTTTCAGTAAGCAGGCACTTGCAGTTCTTGGAGCTGCACGCCAGGCTCTGTAATTCTCTTTTCTGGCGCCTCGTCTGACCCAGCTGCTTGAGAATGAACTAGCTAGAGCGTTGCCAGCTATTTTTAGTGCCTTCCAACGCTGACCTAGGCTGTTCGCTGAGGAGGCGGCAGGAGCTGAGAAGGGCTACGTCAGCCTCATCAAAACAACTTCTTAGGCAGCTCACTGCCTGCAGCTTGGGGACAAGGGCTGAAAATAAGAAATCATACGTGCAGAGCTTTCCAAGTGGGGAAAATAAAGAGCAGACAACCCAGACTGCCCACCAGCAATCCAGAATGCCACCTTAGCCAGCTGAGGCCGTGGGGGAAAAGGGAGTAAAGAACATAGAGACGGCAGGGAAGGGCACCCCAAAAAATCTCTCAGCCAACCAACCCCTAAGAGCAAAACAATGAAAAGACCCGGAGCTTGGCTCCCCTCCCTGCCCTCCTCCATGAGCTTTCCTCAAAGGTTTTCTGGTTTACATGGTACTGTGGGAAACCGGGAGCAGCTCGCCCAGGCCCTACACTTAGAGAAGCATTCCGCACTCACACCCTGGTAAGGAGGACTCGGCCTCATAGATACAAGGCAAATTCCTTTGGTTGGAACATGTCCTTCTTCAGACTGGAATACTCAAAGCCGTCTAACTGCCCAGGTGTCAATTTAGTGTATATCCTGATCATTGGATCACTTTTAAACACTTTTCTACATCCATTGGTTTAAAGATATGTAGAGAGAGTATAGATACATAGAGATAGATGAAATATATATGTGAATACGTGGAATATCCAGAAAGATGTATGGAGATTATACTCAACACTTTCACTCTGAGATCCACATTAGGGATGACAATTAGTACTTTAGAGAAAATTTGTCTTTCAGTTCTTCTATTTGGGTGAATTCACAAACATTTGCTCAAAGGAGCTCTGGCCAAATAGAACAAATCAGGCCTTTTTGAATCTATTGAACCAGTATTTTTGTCTTGATTTAATAGAGTAAAAGTACCTAGTTTCTCAGCTTTCCTCTCTTTTTCAGAGAAATATGACAAAAATATTGATGTTTTACAGTACAGCCAATGGTTCCTTTTTTGTTTTCTCAGCTTAGCCCAGATCTGAAGATTGATATGCCGGTGTCAGAGCCAGCTTCTTTTCAAGAGGTTTTGACGTTTAAATAACCCATCTATCTATGAACACATTTCTTCATAAGAGGTAGTAGTGTCCATTCCAAACAAATTTTTAGCATTATCAATGAGCTGATTCTTATGATAAAATATCAAATGTGAGAAGGAATTCATTTTCACCCCATTCCAAATGAAACTCAAAATTCATTGTTTATAGTATATTTCTTCATACCTAAAAATAACTAATATTTAATATCATCAAATATCTAGTCAGTGTACTAATTTCCTCAATTGTCTCATAATTCTTAAAAATCTATTGGAAGCACACATGGAATATTCTCCAGTACAGATCACATGTTGGGCCACAAAACAAGTCTTAATAAATTTAAGAAGACTGAAATCATTATCAAGCATCTTTTCCAACCACAATGATATGAAACTAGAAATCATTTACAAGAAGAAAAGTGGAAAACTCACAACTGTGTGGAGATTAAACAGTACCTACTGAGCAACCACTGGGTCAAAGAAGAAATCAAAAAATATCTTGAAAAAAATGAAAATGGAAATACAACATAGCAAAACTTATAGGATGCAGCAAAAGCAGTAAGAGGGAAGTTCGTAGAGATAAATACCTACATTAAGAAACAAGAAGGATCTAAAATAAGCAACCTAACTTTATACCTGAAGGAACTAGAAAAGAACAAACTAAGTCCAAAGTCAGTAGAAGGAAGGAAATAAAATTGCAGTGGACATAAATGAAATAAAGGCTAAAAACACAATAGAAAAGATCAATGAAACTAAAAGCTGGTTTTTTTGAAAAGATAAACAAAATAGACACACCTTTAGCTAGACTCACCAAGAAAAGAGAGGACTCAAATAAAATCAGAAATGAAGGAGGTATTACAACTGATACCATAGAAATAGAAAGGATCATAAGAGACAGTATGAACAATTACACACTAACAAATTGGACAACCTAGAAGAAACAGATAAACTCCTAGAAACATACAACCTACTAAGACTGAATCATGAAGAAATAGAAAATCCGAATAGACCAATTACTAGTAAGGAGATGGAATCAGTAATCAAAAACCTCACAACAAACAAATCCAGGACCAGATGGCTTCACTGGTGAATTTTGCCAAACATATAAGGAAGAATTGTTACCAGTCCGTCTCAAGCTCTTCCAAAAACCAGAAGAGGAAGGAGTACTTCTAAACTCATTTTATGAGGCCAGCAGTACCTGATACCAAAACCAAACAAAAACACTACAAGAAACAAAAAGTACCACCAATATCCCTGATGAACGTAGATGCAAAAAATGTTCAACAAGATATTAGCAAACCAAATTCAACAATACGTTGAAAGGATCATACTTCATGATCAAGTGGGATTTATTCCAGGAATGCAGAGAAAATTCAACATCCACAAATCAATCAATGTGATACACCACCTTGACAAAAGGAAGGGTAAAATTATATGATCATCTCAATAGATGCAGAAAAAGCATTTGACAACACCCTTTCATGATTAAAACTCTCAACAAACTGAGTATAGAGGAAACATACCTTAACATAATAAAGGCCATATATGACAAGCCCACAGCTAACATCATATTCGTGGGAAAAAACTGAAAGTTTTTCCTCTAAGATCAGGAGCAAAACAAGGATGCCCGCTCTCACCACTTTTACTCAACATAGTACTAGCAGTCCTAGCCAGAGAAATTAGGAAAGAAAAATAAAGAAAAGGCATGCAAACTGGAAAGGAAGACGTAAAACTGTTGTTATTTACAGGTGACATGATACTATATATAGAAAACCCTAAAGATCCCACCAAAAAACTGTTAGAACTAACAAACGAATTCAGGAAATTTCAGGATACAAAATCAATACACAAAAGTTGGCTGCATTTCTATTCACTAACAATAATCTACGAAAAAAAGAAATTAAGAAAACAATCTCATTTACAATAACATCAAAAACAATAAAATCCTTAGGAATAAATTTAACCAAGGAGGTGAAATAACTGTATACTGAGAAACATAAGAAACTGGTGCAAGAAATTGAAGATGACGCAAATAAATGGAAAGAGACTTCGTGCTCATGAATGGAAGAATCAATATTGTTAAAACGTCCATACTACCCCCAAGCAGCCTACAGATTCAATGCAATCCCTATCAAAATTTCAATGGCATTTTCCACAGAAATAGAGCAAACAATACTAAAATTTGTATAGAATCACAAAAGACTCTGAACGGCCAAAGCAGTCTTGAGAAAAAAGAACAAAGCTGGAGGCATCACACTTCCTGATTTCAAACTATATTATAAAGCTATAGTAATCAGGACGGGATGCTATTGGCATAAAAACAGATATATAGATCAACGGAACAGAATAGAAAGCCCAGATATAAACCCATGCATATATGGTCAATTAATTTATGACAAAGGAGCCAAGAACACTCAATGGGGAAAGGATAGTCTCTTCAATAAGTGATACTGGCAAAACAGTACAGACACATGAAAAAGAATGAAATTGGATCACTATCTTATGCCATCCACAAAAATCAACTCAAAATGGATTAAAGGCTTAAACATAAGACCTGGAACTATAAAACTCCTAGAAGAAAATACAACCTCCTTGACATTAGTCTTAGCAATGGTTTTTTGGATTTGACACCAAAAGCAAAGGCAACAAGCAAAAAGATAACAAAAGGAAAAATAGGTGGGACCACATCAAACTAAAAAGCTTCTGCACAGCAAAAGAAACCATCAATAAAATGAAAAGGCAACCTACAGAATGGGAGAAAATATTTATAAATCATGTACATGATAAGGGGTTAACATCCAAAATACATAAAGAACTCATACAACTCAACAGAAAAAAAAATCTGATTAAAAAATGGAGAGAGAAACTGAATAGATATTTTTCCCAGGAAGACATACAAATGACCAACAGGTACATGAAAAGATGCTCACTATCACTAACCATCAGGGAAATGCAAGTCAAAACCACACTGAGCTATGACCCCACACTTGTGAGAATGGCCATCACCAAAAAGACAAGAGATAAGTGTTGGCGAGGATGTGGAAAAAAGGGAACCCTGGTGCACTGTTGGTGGGAATGGAAGTTGGTGTAGCCACTATAGAAAACAGTATGGAGGTCCCTCAAAGAATTAAAAACAGAACTACCATGTGATCCAGATTCCACTTCAGTATTTATCCAAAGAAAATGAAATCACTATCTCAAAAAGATATATGCACCCCCATGTTCACTGCAGTATCATTGACAACAGTCAA